ACGGGCTATGGTGAGCCCGTAGTGGACTTACCTGGCACAGGAGCGTGTGTTGGTGTGGATTCTCCCAGGTCTTGGACCTTACTGGTGAGATGTTAGGTGGAACTAAAGAAGTGTCTTAACCTACGCGGAGTAACACCGTATATGGACTAAGGTAGCAACAGTCCGTCTGGCGTAGTGCTAGCAGGCAATCACCCTGCGCCTCGCCACAGATTTCGTCTGGGTTCGAGCTCAGGAAAGGGAGGATTTATTGGGCGCCAATCCATAAATGTTCTTCCCTACTCGCCTAGCAGTAATTGATGACCTAGTTATAAACTGGAAGACTGGTAGGGTAGGGGGTTAACCTGAGTTATGGGAGGTAAAAGTTGTACACCTGCTAACAGGAGTGAGAAGCTAGTCTATTCCTGTACCCACCTGTGTAAACAGTTTCAAGTATTAATCATTATTCATTCACAGTATGTCGTGTTGCCTTGAAGTGTGTGTGTGCGCGCGTGCTTTTGGTGGTGTTAGGCCCACCTCACACTGCCTCGAGATGTAGAGAAATGGTTGTGAACACGTTGGTCGACACTGTGTTGGCCCACTACCTGGCCAGGCAGTCAACGCGCGCACATTGGAGTCCCACCACAAATAGCCCAAGCTAAACACAAGTAGAAGGCAGCAGTGCATGATCCGCCAGTGGGATCTAGAACCACTCCCAGCATGCACATTATTAAGTCACAGTGAGAGAGCACCATACATAAAGCACTATCACTTTGGTCGGGTGTGGGGTTAAGTTGATCAAGTAGAGATGACGTGGCGGGGTACATGCTTTTCTCAGGTGTTAGGGCCCCAGCACCCAGTAGGGTCTGTGTGCCCCTGGGACGTGGTGTACCCGGTGCCTCTTCCTGGCCACAGAGGACCTCTTGTGCCGCCATGTGCAGCCGCCCACCCAGCCTCCCTGTCTCTCAGATGACGCACTTCTCACAAATGACACGCCTAAACTCCAAACCTAGGTCCAGTCTAGCATAATAGACCTAACTAGTCCTAAACTAGGCTAGGTTTGACTTTTATCTCTTAAAAATTTCCCTGGGGGGCAGCGGGAGCGGCCATTAACTGACTATAAAGCTAGCTAATGAAGCCTGGCAATTAGTGCTACCCGAGCCGTCTCCACCCACCGTCTTCAGTACCTTCCCACGCGTAATGTTATTGGTGCGAGGGAACTCTACTCTTGGCAACTCTTATAAAGCTCTTGTAAAGTTCGTACAAGAGCTTTATGACACGACTCATTTGTGTCCTTGATGGGCATTTTCCCCAGCACAAGACGAGGCAAGGCTGGTATATTACTGGCTTCTCTAATGTGTGATGCCAAGTGGCGAGTGTTTAGTGTGTGGTAACTACTAGTGACCTAAGGTACAGTGTACACTCTGGTGCAGTGTTCTTGTTATAAATTATAATATATTATAATATATTATAATATATTATATTATATATAATATTATATATTATATATAATATTATATTATATATATATATAATCGACTAAAGTCGATTGTGAGAATGTTCTCACAATCGACTTGAGAATGTTCCAGGACGGACCGAAATGTCGTCGTCCCTTCACTTTCTAGTGTGTGGATTGGTCAACATATAAAATACAATTTTTTTCTAACAAACCTTTTGTTAAGGATGCTTGAGATTCATCTCGGTTACCTCGTGTGTCCAGTGGAGAGAACGGAGGATGCACCACACCTCTCCTGGATATCGGGGTGAGAATAGCTTGAGCTACCTCCAGGCGCCTGACAGCTGGGTGGACAGCGCTTCGGATTCGTTGTCCTGAGGTTCCGGGTTCGATCCCCGGTGGAGGCGGAGACAATTGGCAAAATGTTTCATTGACCTTGATGCCCGTTATTACCTAGCAGTAAATAGGTACCTGGGAGTTACAGCTGCTACGGGCTGCTTCCTGGGGGGGTTGTAACAAAATGGAGGCCTGGTCGAGGACCGGGCCGCGGGGACGCTAAGCCCCGAAATAATCTCAAAATAACCTCATGCCTTTGTGTGTATTTTACCTCAATAAACTTATTTCAATTTTAATTCAATTTCTCCTGGAATGGTCCACACGTTCCTGCTTAGCTCTTGACGTTCATATCATATTATAAACTTTATTCGTAAATGGTTGCTTTACATTTAGAGTTTGCGTTACATAAATTTCAGTAGCATTGTCACAATTACAACATAGCCGGTCGGCCGAGCGGACAGCACGCTGGACTTGTGATCCTGTGGTTCTGGGTTCGATCCCAGGCGCCGGCGAGAAACAATGGGCAGAGTTTCTTTCACCCTATGCCTCTGTTACCTAGCAGTAAAATAGGTACCTGGGTGTTAGTCAGCTGTCACGGGCTGCTTCCTGGGGGTGGAGGCCTGGTCGAGGACCGGGCCGCGGGGACACTAAAAAGCCCCGAAATCATCTCAAGATAACCTCAACATAGCCACGTAAACACTATCATTCTGTACTGTACAATTTGTCAGTAATTTATACAAAAAACATCACTGTTCTGATGTAAATTTATACTGCGTTTTAACAGTACAAATTTATGTACCGTTGCAGTAGTACAACGGTACCACTGTTGTACAACTTTTTGTATTTTTATTTTTCCTGTTGGAGTGGTTTAATGTGCGTGTGTCCACTTAGGGCCAATAGTGGGATAAGTGACAGTTTAAGTGTTGTTTAGCACTTGTAGGGAGCAGAGTGGGTATCTGCCTTATCTGGCTCATTGGAGGGGCACACAAGGGGTGGTGTGTGAGTGTGGTGGGGGGGGGGGGAGTGGTACTGTACAGTGTTGGAGGGAGAGGCGGCGCTCCTCTCTGGTAACTTTTTTAATTTCGCTTTTCTTTGCACCTTCCTCCCTCACCCCCTCTCTCTCTCTCTCTGTCCTTGCCTATCCTCCTCTTCGTTCCTGTCCCCTTGGGGAGCACCCACGCCTCCACCTTGCTGAGTACATAAATCAGATACCAATTAGAGGCAGAGCGCAACTCTACCTGTGACCACTAACACACTCCCCTTGGACCCGTTCCACAGCCGTGTGTGTTCGCCTGTGTGTGCTCACAGGATCCACCCTTACCTCACGGACTCCACCTTTTAGCCCTCGGTTGTCTAATGTAATAATTCCTGATCAATCGTATCTACTTTTCAAATTATAAGTGAAGTGTCGTCTCAAACTGCTCCTTTAGTTCATTCCATGTTCTCACTATTCTTAGGTTAAAACAAAACTTCCTAACATCTGACTCGTCTCAATCTTAATCATCTGTATACGCCCTCTTATTCTACTGGTATTCATTGAGTACTTCATCTTCCCGCACACTCGTTCCTCTAAGCATTTTGTACGTCTTTATCATGTCTCCCCTACTACTTCTCTTTTCTAGCGTCGTCAGGTTTAGTTCTCCTCATGCTTCATCACTCACAATTCTAGGAGGATGGAGCCACGTCGCCGACTTGTGAACCTTGGAATGTGTTGAAGTAACCCCCGGGGCTGTAGACGGCTCTGACGTCACCGCTGCTCATTATCTTGATCTTGAGGTTATCTTGAGATAATTTCAGGACTTAGTGTCCCCGCGGCCCGGTCCTCGATCAGGCTTCCTTTTTGTTATACACCCTCGAAGCAGCCCGTAGCAGCTGTCTAACTCCCAGGTACCTATTTACTGCTAGGTAACGGGTGAAATAATGAACCCATTTGTTTCCGCCTCCACCGGGGATCGAACCCGGAACCTCAGGGCTACGAATCCGAAGCGCTGTCCACTCGGCTGTCAGACCCCCGACAGCTGAAGGCCCCTTCCTTGTTGAAGGAATCCTTAAATAAAACCATTTTAACGTAACGGAATAAGACATTAGTTTTATACATGGTGTGGTGGATGTGTGTGGTCACTGTGAGGCCATAATGTTGAGACCGGTACAGGTTGTAGATCATACTAGTCAACACGCCGGCCGTCGGCTTCGTCTAGCGGCGGCGTGGAGAGTTGAGCCACAAGTGTAAACATACCAGCTCGTCCCCCGGGCTGTGCTTGTCCAAGCTGCCACATTCCCACCCATCCTCCGGCTCTGCGGAATCTCAAATATATATTCACAAAATATATTTGAGATTCTAATGTTGTCTAGCCTCCTAGATCCTGGATAATTTTTAGTTTGCCCGCACAACGGCAGTCTTTCTTACCGGAGTGTGAGCTTGGTGTCTAGACCCTCACAAGGCCACAGTATGAGGCTTTACCATGAAGACATTCTCTGATGTGTTGTCATTAATTGTTGACAAATGCTCATGTGCCGGTGACGTCACGTGCATCATTTGGCGGCAACTTTGCCGCCAAATTTAAGCGTTGCAATCATTGCCTGGGAAATATTTCATTTCTGGCTATTGGTTTCCCCGATGAGTTTTGGTCTTTAACATTTGACAAATATAAGACTAAGTTTTGTGGAGGGAAGAACGAGTCACAGTAATGTGGCTGAAGACGAGTCCTAAAAGTCCAGCATGACGAGAGTGTAACCCGTCCTCGACTGAGTCCATTCCATCCAGCGGTCGACCCCACAGACGCATTCATAAATTTTAACATGCTGTTCATTCAAAACGGGAATTTTCTTAAATATAAATTATTATAATAGCATATTGTGCATATATAGGCATAGGTTAGGTTAGGTGTTTAGGTTATGTTGGCGATTATTTGTATTTGTAGTACGTGGGTGAAGCGTTTACAGCGTTGTGTTTCGAACAAAATCCGTCAGTGAAGCACTTGTTCCGGAAGTGTTCGAACGTCATCAGTTGAGTCGCGTGTAAAGTTTTTCATTTATAAACAGGGGGTTTAGCGGGTGCATGGAATCACTTTTGGTATGTTTGGAGGACGGGCTGCAATCTGTTTGCATAAGACTTAATAATATAAATAATTTGTTAGTGGTAATTGTTTTGTTTAACTGTGTTTATATTAGTGTATTGATTGACTTGTGTGATTGATTTGGTGGGTGGTTCGAGCTCTTATTTTTCTTACAGAGACGGCGACTTGAAGAGACGGACAGGATGAACCGGAAGGCTGTGCCCAAAAGGTTCAGTTAATTACTTCTGGTGGTGGTTGGAATGTGTCTGGGATATTTTAATACTAGTTTAAAGACAATTCGATTAATTACAATTAAACTCTGATTTCTTGTCATGATTGGTGGTGGTGGAATTTTTCAGAGGTCCAGGGCCTGTCATTTCTTTACTAACTCACTAAACCATTCACTTCACGGGACGAGTCTTTGACATGTTCCAACAAGCGTGTTCAAGTGGCAACAATTGGTATTTACACCTTGAGCCGTATAGCCAACATCTGTGTATATATATATATATATATCCAATTTTCCATTAGTCTTTGGCTTTCTATATACCTGATGGTTGATATGGCTAGACAACCAGGTATACCTAATACCCAAGGCGGTTTACAGGGCTTCAGTCAATCAGTAAACAAAGACATTAGGGCTGGCATGACAAGACGAGGATCATTGTCAGTTGGTGCTGGAGTAAAGTTGCTCCATAGGCGTACCAACACTTCCCCCCCCCCCCAACACACAGGTGTACCAACACTCCCCCCCCCCCCCAACACACAGGTGTACCAACACTCCCCCCCCCCCCAACCACACAGGTGTACCAGCACTTCCCCCCCAACCACACAGGTGTACCAACACTTCCCCCCCCCAACCACACAGGTGTACCAACACTTCCCCCCCAACCACACAGGTGTACCAACACTTCCCCCCTCCCCAACACACAGGTGTACCAACACTCCCCCCCCCCCCAACACACAGGCGTACCAACACTTCCCCCCCCAACCACACAGGTGTACCAACACTTCCCCCCTCCCCAACACACAGGTGTACCAACACTCCCCCCCCCAACACACAGGCGTACCAACACTTCCCCCCCAACCACACAGGTGTACCAACACTTCCCCCCTCCCCAACACACAGGTGTACCAACACTCCCCCCCCCAACCACACAGGCGTACCAACACTTCCCCCCCAACCACACAGGTGTACCAACACTTCCCCCCTCCCCAACACACAGGCGTACCAACACTTCCCCCCCCCAACACAGGCGTACCAACACTTCCCCCCCCCAACACACAGGTGTACCAACACTCCCCCCCCCAACACACTGGCGTACCAACACTCCCCCCCCCCAACACACAGGCGTACCAACACTTCCCCCCCTCAACACACAGGCGTACCAACACTTCCCCCCTCAACACACAGGCGTACCAACACTTCCCCCCTCAACACACAGGCGTACCAACACTTCCCCCCCTCAACACACAGGCGTACCAACACTTCCCCCCCTCAACACACAGGCGTACCAACACTTCCCCCCCTCAACACACAGGCGTACCAACACTTCCCCCCCCCCAACACACAGGCGTACCAACACTTCCCCCCCCAACACACAGGCGTACCAACACTCCCCCCCCCAACACACAGGCGTACCAACACTCCCCCCCCCCAACACACAGGCGTACCAACACTCCCCCCCCAACACACAGGCGTACCAACACTCCCCCCCAACACACAGGCGTACCAACACTCCCCCCCCCAACACACAGGCGTACCAACACTTCCCCCACCACCCCCCAACACACAGGCGTACCAACACTTCCCTCCCCCAACACACAGGCGTACCAATCCCTTCTTCCCCAACGCAGGCGTACCAACACCTTCTCCCCCATCACACAGGCGTACCAACACTCCCCGATAAACCACAGCGGCCCATATCAGCCTGAAGAAATTAAAATGTAACAGAAAGCCATATAAGAAAAGTTTTTCATCACGTACACAAAATATATGAAAGTCCGTCTAGCAGTTATGACTCCTTCAAAGTTAAGGTACAAACACACGGGACAAAGACGGTACACAGGAGTCTTGGAAGAACAGTTTGAGGTGTGTGTAGCGTTCAGACGAGCGACTAGACGTTAACAACCTCACAACTAATTAATATTCACAACTGACAATATTACCAACATTAACATGGTATATACCCCAAGTCCCTACCTATCCCCCTCGAGTAATAGGTCGCGTTTTGTACGTTGTCGTGCACTCTTGGCACGCCATATTTATAAATAATTGTCGTGACTTTGGGTAATATTTGTAGTGTTTGATGGAGCGAGAACTTAGAACTTACTTACTGGCCAAGACTTAGCCAGGCCAGCAGGTGTTGAGTGTGCAACACTGTCTTCTCCACCTTGTGAGGTGGATGGCAGGTGTTGCATCACCTTATTCTTCTGAGGAAGAGGGAAGACAAGTGTGTGTCTGTCGGTGGTTATTTTAGATATTATTGTTGGCAGCAGTTGGGGGGAAGGGGGGGGAGGATGTTTGTGAGGCTCGCAAGCGCGCTCTACCTGCACTTCTCTCTCCTCCTTGTGCTTTATCTCTAGCTTCTCTTAACTTGCTCTCTCTCTATCTCTCTCTCTCTCCTACCCCCCTTTCACCTCCCCTTCCCCGAACACATTTTGCTTCTCAATCCCAGAAATTAATTCTACCCGCGGCTTGCTGGGTGTTTAGTGACGCGCGGGTGTTGAAAGGCTTGAAGGTTGCCACTAGTTTATTGTGCACCCCATACTCGTCCTGTGAGCGGTAGCGCAATAAACCTTCACAGAGGTGTGTGTCTGGGGTAGGGAGAAGTGGTGACCGTGAGAGGTTACCTTCACGTTGTTGCTAGGATCGGCGTCTTTACGGCCCGGTCTCTGACCACGCCTCCTAGAGTCTTAAAGAATTTACTCATCTTTTGACCTGTATAAGATGATCTGTACATCTTTTGTCAATCTTTGCCGGCTTGATACCTGGTTGATACCTGGTTGATACCTGGTTGATGGGGTTCAGGGAGTTCTTCTATTCCCCAACGCCAGGCTTTATACCTGTGAGAGTTTGGTCCACCAGGCTGTTGCTTGGAGCGGCCCGCAGACCCACGTACTTTGTTTACATTTATTAAACAGTTTAATGGCTTAAGCCCCAGGAGGCTGTTTATAACACTAATAACATTTGACTGGGGAGTGTCGATGCTCATGAATTGTTTAATAAATGTAATGAAAGTCTCGCTAAAGATTGAGAAGATGTATAGGTTCGTAAGTAGCTGGGTAAAGACTTGAGTACTCTGGCCTGTGGTTGGTGGTGTGGTCAAGCAGGCTGTTACGCCGTCGCTGTGCTCTCTGTCTGACATCTGTCTGACGTGCTGCGGCAGGTTAGTGCTCAGGTATCAGTGTTTGATTGCCTTAGTAGTGCTTAATTTCAGTTTGCGTGTAGGCTGCAAGCACTGCTCTTGCCTAGGTCAGCAGGTCAGGTTTAACAGTTCTGCTTGTTAGTTCTGCTTGTTTAGAGACCTGTAATGTTGGCACATGTGACTAATGTTGTGGTATTAACCTAGAGTCTGTGGTGGCTGGGTTTATAATACACGTGGCGCTACTTGAGGAGAAAATGGTCACTTTTGTCAGGTGTTGGAATTTTTTATTCCTTGCAACGGCAAGGAATAAAAAATTCCTTGTCGTTGTCTGACTCGGTAGTCTGGTGTGGCATTGTTGTTGTCCCATACTCCCTAGTGGTTTAGTTGGTGTTGATATAAAGTTATGACAGTACAAGCCTCCCCCCCCCCCCCTCCCAGGCCGGGCAGGGGGAAGAGCTCTGGGGAACTGACTCCAGGTCAGTTCCCCAGAGAGTTGGATCAGTCTGTATCGTATTAGTTTCCCATTTACCGAAAGATAGATTATATGTTGGTCTTGCCGCCTTAGTTGTTCGGTCTTACTCCCGTAGTTGTGTGTGCGGGGTTTGAAATAGTTTCTAGGAGACCAGGAGCTGGAGCTTCACCGTGGACTATAGGAGGCTGTCATATAGGCGCAGTCAGGGAGCACACGAGAAGGGTGGCCAGCAACTAGCGTGCCTGGACATGGCCCTCATACTAGGGTTATCTTGATTTCGGGGCTTAGCGTCCGCGCGGCCCGGTCCTCGACTGGGCCTCCTTTTTGTTACACATCCCCAGGAAGCAGCCCGTAGCAGCTGTCTTAACTTCCAGGTACTTATTTACTGCTAGGTAACAGGGGCATCTGGTGAAAGAAACTTTTTGCCCACTTGTCTCCGCCTCCACCGGGGATCGAACCCTGAACCTGAGGACTAAGACTCCGAAGCGCTGTTCACCCAGGTGCCAGGCGTCCAATCCCCGGGTGTGGAGAGTGGCACCACCAAGTGCCAGGTGTGGGTCAGTGGCACCACCAAGTGCCAGGTGTGGGTCAGTGGCACCACCAAGTGCCAGGTGTGGGTCAGTGGCACCACCAAGTGCCAGGTGTGGGTCAGTGGCACCACCAAGTGCCAGGTGTGGGTCAGTGGCACCACCAAGTGCCAGGTGTGGGTCAGTGGCACCACCAAGTGCCAGGTGTGGGTCAGTGGCACCACCAAGTGCCAGGTGTGGGTCAGTGGCACCACCAAGTGCCAGGTGTGGAGTGGCACCACCAAGTGCCAGGTGTGGAGAGTGGCACCACCAAGTGCCAGGTGTGGAGAGTGGCACCACCAAGTGCCAGGTGTGGAGAGTGGCACCACCAAGTGCCAGGTGTGGAGAGTGGCACCACCAAGTGCCAGGTGTGGAGAGTGGCACCACCAAGTGCCAGGTGTGGGTCAGTGACGCTTGTCAAATGTGCTCTATGGAGGACAAGAACATGCTGGTTAGCACTGTGTATGTGGCTACATCTGTGGCAGAAAAAATACAGGGAAAAAGGCTGTAAAAAATAGAAGCAAATGCACCACCTTGTAAAGGTGGTATCCCACTTTCTGGCATTCTAAAGTGTTGGCGTTTTTGAAGACCATATATATACCTTGTGGTTACCTTGCGCTGGTTCACAGTCCCCCGCGGCCCGGTCTCTGACCAGGCCTCTTGGTTCCAGGTCTGATCAACCAGATTCTTAGACTGGGGTGGGGGGGGGGGGTTCAGGGGGAAGGTCAAGACCTCGCTACACGGGAGACAACTAGAGGGTGACAAGAGAACATGCACGATCCTAAGAGGAATTGACGAAGCAGATTAAGCATTCATTGTTCAAAGCCAGAAACGGTAGAAAGATGTGAAATTGATGGAGACTAGACACAAATGAGTTGGGAACCAGTACATAGGTAGTCAGGAAGCCAACAATACACAAATGTGAATATAAAAAAGTAGAAACAGTCATTTGTTAATGCAAAAATGTTAAGAGGGCTAGAAGCAGAGCTTGTCCCTGCTAGCATATCTAGAAGTGTGTCTAGGCGACAACTCGCTAACTCTCTCCAAAGTTACAGCACCGGTCCAGTGCCAGGTAAGTCCACTACGGGCTCACCATAGCCCGTGCTGCTTGCAACTTTTGTTCTGAATAGCTGAATCTAAAAACCACCACCCACCCTCCAAACCGCCTCCGCCGCGGTCCCCAAAGTAATTGCTAACGCTAGGTAGTGTAATACCGTGAGTGTTATGTCTATGTATACATAGACTATGTATATAGTCTATGTATATTGTCTTCCTGTCCCCGGACATTGGGAATTAAATTCCATACTTGGGTTGGGTTTTGTTTTCATCCACGTTATTAAAGACTACTGTATTCAATCCCTTCGTTACAGTAGTCGTCGCTCATTAATATGGCAATAATTATTCAGATGACAATTGCATAGTCTAAACTATACAGTATTTCCCTAGTGTGCTTTTCTATGCTTAGACGAGCCGTGCACTTCACCTTCCGGCTGGGAGAGACGAGTGATGGTCATGTGCTGGAGTTTGAAGCTCTAGTTTGTGTTCACTCGTCACTCGCCAGTTTATTTATTTATTTATTTATTTATTTATTTATTTATTTATTTATTTATATACAAGAAGGTACATTGGGTTAGAGAGAATACATAGCATAGTATTTACAATCTTGTAAAGCCACTAGTACGCGCAGAGTTTCGGACAGGTCCTTAATCTAACAGATAATTTTAAGTAGGTAAATTCTAGCAGAATTAATAAAATGATAAGATACATTGCAAGTTTTGAGGGCTTGAGCTGCCCTTAACAGTGGGCACAATGTCCAAGGTCACCCTTGGTCCAGTGTTACTCTTGGATATTGTTCCCTCTGGGAGTCTGCTCCCCTCTTCCCTTAACATTGGATGACCTGTGTTATCCTGAGGGTAAGGTGGTGGGTAAAGACATAAGAACATAAGAACATAAGAACAAAGGCAACTGCAGAAGGCCTATTGGCCCCTACGAGGCAGCTCCTATTTATAACCACCCAATCCCACTCATATACATGTTCAGTAACCCTGTTACTGAACCAGTATTTACCCAAGTCTTTCCTAAATCTAAACTTATCCAATTTATACCCGACATGCTGCTAACCTGCCCTCGTCTACCCTGCTTGAGTGTGGAGATTTGGCCATTAACCTTCTTTATCTTCTGCTTACATTCCCTGGTCAGATATTACACGGTGAGGGAGGTCACGCTCTTTTGGTTGTATTGATTTGTGAATAACTGACCCCATAGCCTCGACTCCTTATCCTGCCCTAAATGTGTCTTCCTGTAGTGTCCTGTAAGTAATGTGTGCTGACCCGCAGCGGCCTGCCTTTACAGGATGGGGGACTCCTTCCGCGCGCGCGACATCAGCCTCAAGGCGCAGAAGAAGTTGCTGAGCAAGATGTCCAACAAGACCATGGCCAAGAACTTCATCGACGACACCCTCGCCTCCATCCTCGACAACATGTACAGCCTGGCGAAGGCCTATGTAAGTACTCTGGGTGTATGTGGGCTTGTGTTGACTGGGCTGAGCCTCGGCCCCTTGCTTCAGTACACACACAGATCACACTAACGTGATGCATCAAATGAACAAATCCACAAGGGCCGTTACGAGGATTCGAACCTGCGTCCGGGAGCATCCCAGACACTGCCTTAATCGACTGATGCTCCCGGACGCAGGTTCGAATCCTCGTCACGGCCCTTGTGGATTTGTTCCTGGGTTCAGCTTTTGTCTCTGGCAATAAAGCCCGATTTCCCTTTGCTGCATCTACCTTTTAAAGTTGAAGCCATGTAGGGAGTATAGTCTTGCCTTCTGTCTCGTTCCACTTACACCTTCACTATGAGGGACTGGTTTACGTCCCTGTGGGTCATCGTGTGTTAATGTCCTTTATTTCTACTCGTATTGAATTATTTTTAAGCATCTTCGTTACGAGATACTTTTAAGGCTCGATCATGTCCCGCTCGTGGTCTCGTCTTTTTCAACTGTTCAATTCAGTTAATTTCATTAATCCTCGTACACCAATTTCCTAATTTCCAGACTCTAGCGACAGATCTTTGGATGTTCTCGGTTTATTAATTAACGTGTTAAGAAAGGCATCTCTTAGCGCTGCATACCATGAGTAACTTGTCTTATGTAGGTGAAGCTCAGTATCATGATAGCAGACATGTCCAGATTCCTGAAGGTCTAATATTCAACAATATAGCACAAACCAGTGACCCGCGTGCCTTACCGGGGAGCAGGTCGGCCAAGCGGACAGCACGCTGGACTTGTGATCCTGTGGTCCCGGGTTCGACCCCGGGCGCCGGCGAGAATCAATGGGCAGAGTTTCTTTCACCCTATGCCCCTGTTACCTAGCAGTAAAATAGGTACCTGGGTGTTAGTCAGCTGTCACGGGCTGCTTCCTGGGGGTGGAGGCCTGGTCGAGGACCGGGCCGCGAGGACACTAAAGCCCTGAAATCATCTTAAGATAACCTAGTTGTCTGCTTAGCGCAAGATATCTAGCTAAAAGAATGAAACCTGGTTATTCTACCAGGTACAGTAATACCTCAGGCGTTGGCAGTACTTGCGTTTTGAAGCTGTGAATGATTGCCCGCTTGTAACTACTATAGTGTGTGTTTACAACGCCTTGCTGCGACCCTTTCTGTTGTCCCTCACTTTGCACACTTTCCGCTACCTAGTCTCCTCAGTATCTTGTACGTTGTGATCATATCTCATGTACTCTTATGTTTAGTGTGCGTGCCGCGTAACAGAGGTAAGTCGATATTTATTGTTCACGGTACAGGCATTAAAACTAATTATAATGGTTCGGAAGATCGTTAACAATTGTCAAAAGAAGGCATAAAGGGCAGGTTGTATGCCACACTTGGTCCGGGAGACATCTCCCGTCACGCAGGGTGCAGTTGCGCCTCCACAGATCTCCAGTATCATCTTTTGATACTGGTAATGGCTCGAAAGGGCCACCACTTACGGGCTATTCATGCCCGTGCCACCTCTTGGGTGGCTTAATCTTCATCAATCAATCAAGGCATAAAGCCGGGAAGACTGTGTAGCAAGACAGTTGACAAGTTCTAAAAGTTCACATAGTCAAGATAAGAGCCAGAATTCTTAGCGCTACTTAAGAGCTACTTACCTGCAGAACTTACTTGTTCAAGTATGTTTATCGAGACAAGAAAGAAATACATCTCAACGGGATAGATTGATTGATTGATGACGATTAAGCCACCCAAAAGGTGAACCGGGCATGAATAGCCCGAAAGTGGTGGCCCTTTTGAGCCATTACCAGTATCAAGAGCTGATACTGGAGATCTGTGGAGGTGGGAATGCACCCTGCATGACGGGAGATGTCTCCCTTGTGAATGTGTTAAGATGAAGATGAAGCCACCCAAAAGGTGGCAAACGGGATAGAGTAGCTTAGGCTATTTCTACCCCCCGAACTCACCTGAGCAGCTGTGTACACACCTGTACATGTGCAGGTGTCGTTTTGTTTATGCGGTGGGTCCGTATACATGTGCGTGTGTGCGCATAATTTTACGGCGAAATAAGCAAATTTGATAACAACATAACACCCAAATTACCCCCCAACTGTCCTTCAGCAATAACAATTACGTGACTAAAGAACTTATTAAAAACATTCTACTATAACATTGGAAATGAACGTAGGACGGGAATAAACATTATTTTACTATAGGATATACACATTTTATTATGAAATATGACAATAGAAATTAAATTATCCAAAACGTTTTATAATTCTTTATTTGGGTAGTTCTAAGAAGTTTTGAATAATTGTACGTTTTCTGTTTTAGATCAGTTTCATAGTAAAACTTTCAGGGACAAAAAAATTAGAGGAAAAGGTGGGGGAGGTAGACAGGAATTCGTGTAGAGGCCCGAGAGGCAAGGCTGCGTGTGCTAGTGACTTCCACTTCTCCCTGCTTGACTTGAAGCCAAAGGCGCTTTTTTTGGCGCCATTAAACCGTCGCCCCCCTCGCCCAAAATATAAAATTTGGCGGTAAACCATAACTTTTTGGCGCCAAGCACACATTGCAGGGTGCGAGTGTCTTAAGTCTTGTTCTCTGGAAATTGTGACTCTTTCCCATAAACGTTTAACAATGACGGGAAATTTTAGTTTAGGAGTTGAAAGATCAGCGATTTATTTTGATGGTGGAACGGGAAATTGCGGTTAGAGGTCTGCGGAGTGCAGGGACTTGACGATTACGCCACAAGTGCAGTTTTTCCATGACACTGTAGGAATAGAGAGAACAGTGCGCTGAAAATGGCTGATAAAGGTTTGGTGTAGTGGAATAAGATAACAATAAGTGAGGTATGATGAGCAAAACAAAAGGGGCAAGAGACAACAGTCTTGTATGTCGGTATCATGTCTCCTTCACTATCTCTATTTCTTTTCTCTAGTGTGGAATGATTGATAAAGATTAAGCCACCCTAGAGTTGGCACGGGCATGAATAGCCCGTAATCTAGTGTTGGGAGGCCCAGTTCCTTAAGTATTTCCTCGAAGCTACGTTCCTCACCTCGGGAACGAGCCTTGTTGCGTATATTTTTATAACAAAAAAAATCATGCAAGTGTTCCATGCATTCCTGTGCGTGCACGTATGCACTGTTAATCCTCCAGATTACAATAATTTGCATCTTGTCATTCCACTAATAGTTTTTGCTTTCTTGAATTAATAAGAAACGTGGCGAGTGCTCAGAGATAACACCTACACACGTATATAAGGTCAGGTGACGTGGCACCGTTGCTTTGTTGTTGAGGAGACGCTATTTCCGGTAAGTTCCCGCGTTATCTTGGCTTATTACAGCTGTGCGTCTTGCTATCTCTCGGCGTCATCATGTCAGTATCTTTGAGAGCAGGTATGATAACACATGATCTCATGAGCGATAATAATAGTGTTAAATAAAACGAACTTCATTCATAAACAGTCGTACATTTATAATGAAAAGTCTACACAAAAATTAAGGATAGCTCATTAGTGTGTAATAAAATATGGAGAAGATTAATGCCTGTCTGCCTTTATTGTCGTGCAAATAAATAATAGTGAAGTGACGGAGACTAGGAACGGCGGAGGTGGTCCCTCGCTGGCGGGCGTTCCCCAAGGTGTCCAGTACCCTCCCTCCCCCCCCCCACCATGTTCACGGTGGGGCATGTACCCTTTGCGGACCCCCCCCCCCCTCTCAAAATCCCCCTTTCATCATACCCCCCCTCCCCAAGCCCGCCATCCCAGCTCCCCCCCAACACAGCACCCGCCATCCCAGCATCCTCCCAGCATCCCCCTCCACAGAACTCTCCCCCCTAGAACCCTCCCCCCCCCCTGCTATACCCCAGCAACGACAGTTCAAATTAGTGTGGAGGCCTAGATGTTCCACGTCTGTATTCACTATGTAACTTACGGGGAGTATTGACCCCTCCCCCCCCCCCCCACCCGCCCCCTGCTGCAGCTTGTAAACAACGGGAACTAGTTAGCACTGTTTCCCGGCGTCCCGCTCACCTGGCCTGACAGCTGGGTGGACAGCGTTTCCGATTCGTAGTCCTGAGGTTCCGGGTTCGATCCCCGGTGGAGGCGGAAACAAATGGGCAGAGTTTCTTTCACCCTGATGCCCCCTGTTATCTAGCAGTAAATATGTACCTGAGAGTTAGACAGCTGCTACGGGCTGCTTCCTGGGGTGTGTAACAAAGAGGCGTGGTCGAGGACCGGGCCGTGGGGACGCAAAGCCCCGAAATCATCTAAAGATAACCTGGTGTATGATTGTGGCGCCACACCTAAGGAACCTGTTTACTCAAGTATTGGTCTGGTCCTGCACGAAATCCGCAGCTTGGCATTTTCAAAAAATTCATAAACCGTTGGATGAGGCCAAACTGCAAAGGCATTTGTTTTCACAAGTCTTCACTCGATTGACTGGAACAGCACCTACACTATATGATTAATAATTCACTGTGTTGGGGGATAGGCAGCCAGTTTCTGGTACAGTACATGTTAGGCTGATCTCGAGGTTTCCCAGGATGCAGCCCTACAAGAAGACGCTGATTAACTCCTGGGGTACCTATTTACTGCTAGATGGACGATGGAATTAGGCGATATGAAAGGTGCCCAACCATTTCTGTCCTGCCCGGAATGCGAAACCCGGAATTCTTGATAGTCAAGCATGAGCCAAACTGTCCTACCTGGACACTATGATAAATGATATGATAAATACAATATAATAAATCCTGTTGTAGGGGACAGGAAGCCTGTTAGGCTTATCGAGGTGCCACTAGAGCAAGTGCTGACCTTCCCCAGGATACAAACCCATAGTTGTTCAATTTCTTGGTACCTATTTACTGCTCGATAAACAGATGCATCAGGTGAAAAGAATGGAAACGTTCTCATAACATATACAAGGTTTAAAACCGTTTTACACTAGCATTTATATTTCAACTAGTTTTAAGTACTAGCTTAATTTAAGATGTATTACATTCCAAGAAATTGTTCTGCATTTTTGTCCGTATGTACAACCTTGTAACACGTGTGTTTATTTTTTAAGACAGCTAAATTGCTAAGTGAAATGCTATGCATGTTTAATCTGGTTCTGTAAACATTGTAATCTTTTAAATTTTAAATATTTGTTGAATATAGATTGTAGATATAAGCTGTGAAATAATACCGAACCACATTTTAATTCTACTCTCAGACTGGTAACAAGAAAGAGGCGGAGAAGCTGGTGAAGAACATAATTAAGATCGTCGTCAAGATCAACATTCTCTACCGGAATGACCAGTTCTCCCAAGAAGACCTCAAAGTGGCCAACCAGGTAAGCTTGCATCACCTCAGAGCGAGAGCTGTAAAACTGTGCAGTTTGAACTGTGTTTAACACCTTGATGATAGCGTGTTGAAGAGTGTGTTCGAATGCAGGAAGTGGAGACTAGGACGTCCAAGGAGACGGCCGGACTAAGATGACTTGAGCAAATGAAGTAAGGAAGGTAAAGGTTTTTAATTGTGCATGAACTTCACCTGGGGTGTTGCTCTGGTTTAATAAAACAGTTTGGGTTGTGCTGGGCCCCCAGGGTCCTCCCAGAACCTGAATTTTGTGAGTTTTGCAAGGTTTGTAGGGCCTGCTTATAATCTCGAGGGCCCAAAAATTTCCAAAACGCCCCCCACACAAAAAAGGAATTCCAAAACTGTGAAAATTGGTTATACTGTGAAGCATTTATTTCAAATTTTACCACTTTTTTGCTGCTTATAACTGTTTATAATTTTTAGCCCTCTTATTGCCACTTTTTCATTCAAATTTTTATTTTTCTTACAAACCATACCAAAGGTAGATTATACAATTGTTTAAGGTTGGATATTCAAAGTGGAAATTCTTGAAATGAAACATTTGTCCATTATGTATATCTTTGGTTATTCCCTCCTTGGTTCTCTGCGCAGAGTACTGGTAACTCCCAAACATTTTCTATTGAAAATGTCAACATTTTCATTTTCTATATATTTTCCCCAACGTTCCTATTGTTTTAATCCATATTTTGTATTTCCTTCAAAATCTCACCAGAGGCTGTTTTATAAATCCTGATTATGGTTGCAATGTTTTAAAGGGAGATATTTCATTAGACCATTTGAAGAAGTGGTCTGGGTTAATAATGTCTTCAAATTTGTTCAGTACAGTGTTTTAATTAAAGGTCTCCTATGGAATCAGCCCTGTCACATGTAGCTGGTAGAATTTAGTCCGGAGGCCCTTAACTTTCCTGTTATGAGAGTTGATTCTCTGTATGTTAGGATCTCTGAAATCTCTGAAATGTTGAATTGGGTAAAAAAAAAAAAAAAAAAAAAAAAATTCTGCTTTGAACCTCTTTCAAAGCACTTATGCACTGCCAGAGAGCTGTATGACGAATTGTTGGGCCTGCGGGCCACTCAGAGCAATAGCTTGTTAGACCAAGCTCTCACAAGGCAAGCCTGGCCTCGGGCCGGATGAAACAACAGATTACTACCCAATTAGAGCCCCAACTTAACACAGCTTGTAAAGCCCACTTTGACCCACAAATGTTCTCTCACCAGCTCGGTTAATTGAAATAATTTAAAAGGGAAAACCCAATCTCTTGCTATACCTTAATAATTAATAATATTTGTACTTAAACACTGCCACCACCCCCATACCTGAGTGAGACTGAACGAAAGATAATGGATTTAGGGGAGAGGAGCCCAATACTCTATTGTTATTATTGTACTTGGGAATAATTTAAACTCTTTAATTTACTGAGAATCGGGGGACATCTTTTAATCAGAATGGAATAAAACTGGGAAACTTTGAATACAGTATGTAAACACAATTTTAATGATTCTAAAATTACATGGAAAAATTGGCTAAAAACTAAAATAATAAAAAATGAATTATATTTTAAATAATGACATGTAAATACATCCTAGGCAATATAAATCCTATAACAAGGCAATGGTGTAAATAGCCAGACAGTACACAAACTCAAGGAGCACATTACCTTTCTTGCAATACTAGCCAAAGATGTTGGATGACCTTCACCAGGTCCTTGCGACCTCTCTAAGTTGACCCCCAGTACACGCTGACTAAAAATCCTTTTTGATCCCATTAAGGTGGTCTTCTGGACCTACCCACTAAGTTCTGACCCTCTGAGCTATGCCCATAACCCAGGCCTAATTCAGTCACTTCAAACTGGCCTGTAGTCTGGCACTCTGGCCTATAAGTGCCAGGAACCCCTGGGCCAGACTTTTAGAATACCTCTCAACCACATCAATCGGGTATTAAGCAGGTGGTGCCAACCCTCGTGCATAGATGGATGATGATGCATGTGAAAAGTAGATGGATGTAGAAATAGACAATCGAAGAAGTATGTGCTTTGTTAGGAGAATAGATAAGGGTAAGAAACGAATACCAGATGGAAAGATACGGAGTGCAAAAGCATAATAATAAACTAATAATTTACTTGTACAATATACAAAGGAAATGCCAAAATAGATGGCGAACCACAGGCCCGCAAGGGCCTGACAGCTGAGTGGACTGCACTTGGGATTTGTAGTCCTAAGGTTCCTGGTTCGATCTCCAGTGGAGGCTGAAACAAATGGGCGGAATTTCTTTCACCTTCATGCACCTGTTCACCTAGCAGTAAATAGGTATCTGGGGGGTTAGACAGCTGCTACGGGCTGCTTCCTGGAGGTGTGTAACAAAAAGGAGGCATGGTCGAGGACCGGGCCGCATGGAAGCTAAGCCCCGAAATCATTTCCAGATAACCTAAAGATAACCACAAGGTTAAGGAGATCATATCAAGATGATTTTGTTCATACAGTTTAGTAATTCATTTTGTCAGGTTCAGGCATCCTGTTATATAGGCACATTAGTTATATTGAGGCCCCCAGGGTCGAATTATTGACACTTCTCAGGATGCAACCCCACAACATGCTGACCTGGGTACTTGTTCACTGCTAGGTAAACAGAGGCATTAGGTGATAGGACATGTACCCAACCATTTCTGCCCAGGATTATTAAAAGTAGATATGTACTGTTGAAGTAAATCTAGGATACCACAAAACTTTGGTTATGGAAGAGTTAATTTTCTCCCACCTGATTTTAATTACTCGTACACACACACCAGTCTTCCATGTCTTCGATGGCTTGTTCATTACTATTTGTCATAAAAGTTTTAATTGTTTTTGTAAACACATGCTAATTGCTTCATTATAAATGCCAAACTAATGTGGCACATTACACGGTAACGAAGTCATTGGCAAATGGATTTTGTTACTGGTGGACCTTCAAGTGTTGAATTACTAATCAGTAATATGAAATTCAAAGGAGATGTGTTGTATGAACCTCTTTTCTTAATTACTGAAATGAAAAAGTTGCACTTACACACTATTTATTTTTACAGCTTCGAAACAAGTTCACAACGATTGTCAAGACGGTCATCAGCTTTTTTGAAGTTGACTTCACCTTCGACAAGGCCTTTCTTACCAAGAATATCAATGATTGCCGTGGCCTCCTAAAGCAACTTGTAGGGAACCACCTGACAGACAAGTCTCTCGGGAGGATAGACCATGTTCTCGACTTCTTCACCGAGGCTGCCTTTCTGGAGGAGATGTTTAGACCAGAGTCACCCCACCGTCCAACACTTCAGACAATTATAGACGACATGAGCAAAGCTTTTGATGAAGGCGGGATCTGAAGTGTAAAATTTGTGTCGGTGCACAGTGTCTAATCCGATATTTTTGAGTCACATGATTGGGATTTTTGTGCTTGGGTACTAATACTTATAATTTAGTATTGGTATTTACAATGGATGAAATAGTGAAGAGTTAGGAGGAATTGTTTTGCAAATGAATTGAACTACCCATGTATCATAATTTTGTAGTTAATATAACATTATCATAAGTCCCATAAATACATATGGTTAGGCATAAGGAGTTGCTAAATACTGTGGCATTATATGAAGTATTTTGTATACAGTCATTACTGGGACCTTCTTTAACAAAACCCATTTTATTGGAAGATATTTTTTATAATGTTCATCTCATAATCTTCTGTAAGGTACATGGACAATTAGTAATGCATCTCTCCATATTAAAAAATACTTTTCCTGCAATCAGAGCAATTACTTTAAATATTACACCAAACATTAGTCACAGCACTTCTTTGCAATATTCTGTTTGCAAAGACAAAACAAATTTGCTCAAAATTTGCCGAAGATATTTTTTGTAGAGTTTAGTCAAGACCTTCTAGTGACCTTACTCGATCACAACCCGTGAATGGGTTGACTTGCAAACTATTCAATCTGGCCCCTGTACTAAAAGTGAGCAGCTTTGCCCTTGCTTGGGATGGTGGGAGGGGATAGTTTGTTAAAAAAAAAAAAGTTACAAATTATTTTTTTAAATTCTTTAATAGTTGCCAAATAAAGAATGTTGTTTAAAGAGGAAGTGGCAAAAACCATGATTTTTAAATAGACTAGATACAAAATACCTATGCATTTTCTTGCATTGCATTGCACTTTTTGAAACAAGAGTGCATTTAATGTTCATCATGGAATAAACTTTAGATAACTCTGCAGCTGGGTCCAGTCCTGGCAACTTCTCCCTACATTCTCCTTCCTCTTGGAAATAGCTACTTGCTCAATGCTTCACCCCCTTGTCACCAAGCACTGTTGTTCTCATTAAGAATGTCTTGCCGAGCTGAAGTAAAACAAAAGCAGTAATGTTTATGCTCATTGTAGCAAAAAATGCCCTTGCGTGAAGTGAGAACCATCAATTTATCACAGGGCATGAAAATCTTGCAGTCAGTATTATGTAGATAACTGGTACTGTACTGTGTGCCAAAATAAACACAATACTTAAATAGAAAAAAAAAAAAACTCGTGTGGATCCTATGAATTTTCTAAGATTATGGTAGACCATATGTAGATGCACATTGATTTAAATATACCACACCGATATGTAGGGGTAACATTTTTAGGAGGTAAAATCCCTTTTCATTTAATTTGATGTTTAAACAGATTAATAAAGCTATGCATAGGTGGTTATTCTGTGGATTTCTTTATTTTCATCATAAATCGGAATAAATCTTTAATGGGTCTGCACTGTTCCTTGTTTAGCCTTCATAGGTCTCGTGAAACCTTAACAGTAACAGCCCTGTCACCAGAAGTTTCGTTTGACTACTGTATTACAATACATCATGCACATGTTTGATATTTTCTTGTTAGTTATTATAATTTTTGGTGCACAACTTTAACAAAACAAATGCTTTAAAATTTACCTGAGCATTTTCATTATCATTATTCAATTGTTCAGTGCTGGGTCACTATATTTTCTTTATGCATATTTACAGAAACTACTTGCATTACTTTTTATTTACAATTTTTGTTTATGCAAAATTGTTTATCGGATACATGCCAGGTGTATAGCCTTGTACAGTATATAATGACCGATTGAATCGCATTATTCTCTTCTGGCAGTAAATCTTGACAGTAAAGAGTAATTTCTTCTATTTATTGGTGTAATTTCTTCACTTGTGATGTTCATATCCGTGCTTCCAATGTGTCTATAAATTTTATGTAAATAAGTTATTTTGGCAATGTCTAGAAAAGGCCCCAAAGCTAACGTTATTTGACGTAATTTGTATGAATAGGTAATAAATAGCATTGAGGAGACTGCAGCACGTGCTAATTCTCATGTGTTCATCATGATGATGAAGCAAACCAGATCATCACTCCAGACATAGGATACTTTATTTTTAATAACTATTAGATTTAATATTTATAAAAGTTTTTGGCAATACCCGTTACCATTTTTTTTTTCTTAAACTAAATGTTTTAATCAAGGTTGAAAAAGAGTAACCGGTATTAGTGGCATGTGTTTGTAGTTTAAGAAATCTCTTTAGTACTTAAGATTTCCAGGTGAGCCTTATTTATTGACGTTTTAGTTTTATAAATATACACATTCCTTGAGAGGCCTTTGCTGTACCAGCATATACGGTAAGGTATGGAAATTTTATTTTCAGTTGCAATTTGTAATTTTTATTTTGCATCTGGTTCATTCCCAAAGTGTGAAAATTGTATAGGAGGAAATTTTAGAAAAGGGTTTAAATCTATTTAGAGGATTATAATAGGCATTTAATGGAAAATATACTTTACTGAAAGCATAAATAAATATAAAAATAAAGGACTTTTTTTTTTAAATTGCATTTAACTTAAAAAGTTGATTTAAATTACAGCATAAGAATATTAATTATTTGGTGTATATATTTAGCTGCTTTTTCGTAAAGTTGTTAAATATTTCATGGTTTACATGCATCTGCTCATACAAGCCTTAAGTGGCAAGCATTGAGGGTAGGCATATCATTCTTGAATCATCTAAATAGTATATCGGGGTATAATTTCCCTCTTAAAGAAAGAGTACATATTCAATCATTTAATTAATACTGAAGTACAGTACATTAATGGCATGTTCTTGCTTTATTATTTTTTATATCAAACATTTTAGTGTTAAATATGACTGTGAAATCTGCTCCTCATTATCTAGGATTCTAAGGACTGATAAATCCCCAGGAGCAAAAGGTTCAAATTGGGTCTGAAAGGTAGAAAGACATTTTAACATTTAAAATGAAGTAATTTTCAAATCTGGATTGCCTGTTTTTTTTAGTTCCTAAAGTACAATTAGTAGATCAATGCCTTTAGAAGAATATTTTTATTGTATAATGGAACTGTATGCAATGTATACTTAAACATATATACCTGCATAATAAATTAAGTTTTCAGTTATTTCCAGTTTGATTAAACAACTGATCCTTAGTGTGTTTAAATATACAGTATATACAAGGAACAGTGGGTTATGAGAGTACTCATGTTTAATACATTCTTGTAAAACTCCTAATGCATGGCATTTTGGGTAATTTTTAAGGCTAACAGTTAATGCATCTGCGAGCTCACTCTGGCCATAGGCTTACAAATAGTGGCTTCTTTAGAGCTAAAAGGATTGCAATTGTCTTGAAGTAATGAGCATTAATATTGATAGGTGTGTCGGTTTTGGTTCTTGCATTTGTTGGGTGAAAGTGCAAATTGATGATTTTTTCCCCAATTAATGAGCTACAGGGTGGTTGTTAAAAAAAAAAAATAAAGGTTTGTCTCTAACCCTTTAATATAGCCATCCAAAGGTGTTTGCTCCACAAGATGCTTTGTGCTCAACAAAGTGTATTGTACTTTAAGTAATTTCATCAGTCGTAATTTAGTTATGCAGTTTAAGGATTTACCAATTCTGCTATACAGTATAGGGTCCCAGTAGTAGAGTTCATTCTTAAGTCTCGATCGATTGAGAATGCTAGGTTCAAATCCCAGGTGGGACAGAAATGGCTGGACACATTTCCTATTACCTAATGTCCCTGTCCACCTAGCAGTAAATAGGTACCCGGGAGTGAGTTAGCTTGTGAGGTTGCATCCTGGGGAGGGTCAGCAGTTCCCTCCTGCTGGTCAGCAGAAGAGGGTCCTTCCAGGGTTCGACCCCTGGAAGGACCTCGATATAAGCCTAACATGTACTGTGTAAACTGGCTGCCTGTCTCCTGACAATGAATTAAAATATTAACATTGATATAAACTGGTGACTGTTTTAATCTTAAATACTCAGGCACCATACTGGTGAAAAAAACAAAAATAAAAAAGTTAATGCCATACAAAATGTTACTGCAATTCCATCTTGGGTGTTGCTGGTAAGATTAGCGAGTCATGAAATCTGTTCACTGTTTAACTTAATTTTTTTTTTTTTTTTTTTTTTTTTTTTTTACAAATGCCAAGAATGAGTGAAGAGCAGATGAATGTAACCATAAGATATTTTTTTTTAAGTAGATTGCCTGAGCCCAGATAAATCCTGTAGATATATACTGTAATGCAATATCACAGTGTGCCGAACATAAACCTTAGTACAGTATGTAGTTAAAATAAATTAAGATTTTTATATAGATATTTTCAGTAAAAGTATAATTTTTTAAATTTATTTCTAGTGACTATATTTTCTTAAAGGTCTGTAGGGGTTTGAAATGAGGAAAATGATTGCATTACTGTACTGTAAAATAAAATTCTTTTGTAGTGTACATAGAGAAGCAACTACGCAATCAAAGGTATGAGTGTAATTAATGTGGCTTATCTCGTGTGTGTGTGAAGTTTTTTAAGTGAGAAAATGTGTTGTATAAAGTATTATTGTATCTAAAGCATGTATCTAACAGTATATTATTTTCTCTGTTGGGATTTTTTTTTTTTTTTTTTTTTTTTTTTTTTTTTTTTTTTTTTTTTTTTTTTTTTTTTTTTTTTTTTTTTTTTTTTTAAGATTTTGTCAATACAGTATAGTTAAATTTGAAAGCACACAATAGTATGTGGGTTTTAATTCCAAAAATGTCTATAAATTGTATTATGCCTTAAACTTGTAAGTTTTAGATAATAAAATATCTGAAAAGTTTTGCAATATTTCAAAAATATTTAAATACAGTATTGCAAATATTTCATTTGATTTTTTGAGCAAGAGAAAACGACATACCTGATGGTGATAATTATGGGACTGTATATGTAATTTTGAGTGTTACAGTATAGTACACTGTGCTTGTATTGGCATGCATAAGTATCATACTACAAATGACTTTAATCTGTAATAGTATGTATATTTTGTTTATTGAACAAATCATAATACTGTGGTGTACAGTACAGTATTTAAAATTTTATGACTAGTTTTAATGTGACAAACTGGCAAAGCAAATCTCTCAAGCTGTATATAATGCTGTCTGTTATAGAACCTTATTTTCATACAGAAATAATTCATATGAAGCATTAAACTTTTCTTAAATATGATTTTCATGAAATTTGATTAAGCTTTAGAGAAATACATGAATTCTTAAACCAGAAATAGTTCTTTGCTGAAGCCAATTTAGAGCGTGTTAGTCTTTGTCAGGTAGAACTTTGAAGATTGCTTCGAAAATTTAAGACATCTTGTATAAAATGCAGCATGATCAAAATACAGTATATATTGTGAATTTACAACTACAATCTAAATATGAGAAAACTAGTACTGTATAGCAGAAATTTCTAAAATGAATCAATACAGTATTTAATGCTTCTAATTTGTCAAATGCAAGGAGTTGTAAAAGGGGATGCAAAGGCAAATATTTCTCTAGCAATGAAACATGTTTGTACGAAGAGCAAATACTATATATTCTTGTGTGACGGATTGTGGTACATAACTGTAGCTGAAATAACATACTGTAGTTGTTTGACGGTCCTTAGTGTGGGGGAGATGTGTGTGAGTGAGGCAGGCAAGCAAGCAGGCAGTCTGCACTGATGGGGTGATGGTGTGGACAGCCTTCCCTTGGCTAGTGGCACTTAAATGAACCCAACAAGCTCACCACAAGAATAGTATATTATTCCATACTATTGTATAAACAGTTAGCATATACATAATATATGTAACATACAATACTGAGTATAATTATGATTACTGGTATATACACAATTGATTATATATATGATTATAATTATATTAGTACTGTATATAAAAACAAAAATTACTAAATCTATAACACATAACATATTCTGTAACATCCAGACTGTTTGGCATTTGTTGTAGTCAAGAGATACAAGTTTGAAATGAGAAACTGCCCATAGTACCTCATTAAATTATAATTTATACATTCTGTATTTTACCTAACGAAGCCAGCATTAGCATTAAATAAAAACCATGTGTTGTATGATATTATAAATAAGCTATAACTGCAATGGGCTTTGTAAATTGCAGATATTTAAAACTATTAAAGGCCTTGTTGTCTTTCTGGAAACTCAACTAGAGTATTTAAGGTGACCAGCTCTGGAGAAGTATAGAGTGCATGAACCATTGAAGATGCTGTGATTTATACTGACCAATGTAACCTTTATATTGGCAAGTTGGCTCTGACAGTGGTAACATGGTCTTTGACATCATCTGACATGACAGACGTTCATAAATAAACTTTAAAACTCTGTAAATATTTCTTTAACCTATTATTATATTTTTTAATCTTTTTTCCTTTAATTCAACTATTTAACCACCCCTTTTCCAGCTAAGGCACCACAGCCTTTTAGCTGTGATGCCCGTGTGCTCTGCAAATTTACCCGAATTACCTGACTTTACCTCGGGGACACTTATGTAGTGGCCTCGACGAGGACAGGAAGCCGGCAGCTTCTCGAAAGTCACACCATTTGGCAGGATTTTGAAAATCTGCAGCGTTTTGGCATTTTCGGCTTCGAGTGATAGGCTATTTCATGGGTTTATAACTGTAAAAAGCAATCTCCTGGTTTATGTCCTGCTTTGTGGCTTATTGAGCTTCAAGCTGTTGCTCCTATTGTGTTACATCTGAACTTTTGAATGAGTGGTCTGGATCAATAGCCTCCAAATAGTTCAGGATTTTAAGTTTCAATGCGATCAGCCCCGTCATGTCTGGTTTGCAGTGTTATTAGCTATGTAGATGCTAATAGTGTGATTAGAAAAACTTCTGTTTTAGCCAAAAAGGGATGGATCTCCAGGACTGGGTCAATGCCCCAGTTCTCTAAGTATAATAATTATAATAGATTATAATTATATTATTACATTAATATATAATTATATTTTAATATAATTATAAAATGTGTAATAAAATTTCTTAGGTATGGGTGAGAGATGGCAAAGCACTTCATTATGAAGTAACGTGAGTTGACTCGCCCGTATTTACAATGGACAAGGATAAGGTAAGGAGAGGATTCTAAAAAGATGGCCTTTGGTATTCCAAATAGAATTTCCTCATCGGGTATGTTTAGTTAAATTCGCCTAAAAGAAGTAATGGCAGAGATAAAGACAAAACTAGAAGCAGCTTAATGTCTTAGAGATTTGGAAAGGTGGGACGAAGTTAAATGGAATACACAGGATATCACTGCTATCACAGCAGCAGTAATTGAATGGATGTTTGACATCAATTTACGGAAAAAAAGGAACATCAATCCAGATTCAAGGAGCAATGTTGTTAATGTGGTCATTAAAGTATAACCACAGAAAAGACCAGGATGAGCATCGGGTAACGCATTACAGTGGAAACTTAAAAGATTAGAAGCTGAAGCTCATGTTAATTTTTCTGAGCTTCAGAATCTTCCACTGTCGTGCATCTACCAGATGCTCATCCTGGCCTTTTCTGTGGTTATACTTTTTTAATGGTCATTCTAGCAACATTGCTCCTTTAGTTAAAGAAAGATGGAGAGAAAAAGCTAAGAGGTTATGAGGTTATGGAATGTGGTTCAGGTAGAATAGATAGGACATGTAAGAAAGAACAGCCCAAGTGGGGCTAGGAAGGAAGCTCAGATATATTCAATGGAGAGAGAAGGTTGGGATAGAGAAGACTATCGAAAATGCAGGGCATCTCTGGAACAGTGAGAGAGCCTGCCTCTGCAATAGGGCTAAAACGATGGAAGAGGCATGACCTTTTCTTTGGAGAAGTAAGAGAATGAAGGAACCAGCTTACGTTTTAGGCTAGAAGATGGTTTAGGTGGAGAAGGTTAGTAGCAAAATTCATTTTGATACGAGAATGAACATCAGCTGTGACCTTAAGGGTGGTAGAATGGCCAAGAGACGGGAAGGCCAAATGGAGCCTAGAGAACAATTGAATATTAATGGAAGGTCTGAGATACGGGTTCAAACCTGGGGGAGGGTTTCTGTAAAAAAGGGACGTAGGTGTCAGAAGTGCATTTGAGTGGGGACACTACAACAGAGAGCAGAAACGTAGAAGATGGTTTAGTCAAGGTGTCTGCAACAAGAACACGGAAACGTTTTTTTAACTCTGGACAACCGAGATCAGGAGGGTTCACCTGTCAAATGTAGTTTTCGCTGTATGGAGGAAGCGAGTGTGTCCACTTTGACAATGAAGTGTTCCCTAATATTCTAGAAAAGTTTGAATATCGACATGGCAGTATCTCAGATCCCTACCGTCAATGGTAACATTGGATTGGAAAACAACAGTACCTCAAATCCCTGTACCTCTACGGGGACCTTCAATCACAACTACATATAATTATACTCAATTCCACAGGGACCCTCATTATCATCCACAGATACACTCATCTCTACAGAGACCCTCACCCTCACTCAACTTTTAAAACACATTCATCTAACATATTGATCTCAGAGAACTAATTTTTCTCGTGTGGTGCAATATAAACCAGAATTTTCTAAATTAGAAGTTAATAGTATTATATATTGATGGAGGTTACCAACATTGCAGTAATCAACTAAAACTAAATGTTTGGTTCTGTTGATAACTGCAAAACTGATATATTTCGTGAAAGCCATCCTCATCCAGAGACAACTTTCATTCCAGGAAATATTGAGAGCCACAGTACTAACAAACCAGACATGACAAGAGCTGATCTCACTGAGGCGATCTGGTGGTAAATTAATCCAGACAACTTCTTTAAAAGGTGTAATGTAACACATAAAAGGGGCAATAGCTTCAAGTTGAACAAGCCACAATGTAGAGCAGTAAGCAGGAGATACTTTGTCACCCACACGGTAGTTAACACAAGGAACTTCCTACCCACCGAAGGCATAAATGTTTAGACAATACTTCAGATCAAAATCCAGATAGAATAAATCATCAGGATCAATGGAGAACCTTCGACAAGCTGCTAGTTTCCTATCCCCGGCGAGGACACTAATGGAATAGTAACCACATCGGGTAAATTCAGGTAAATATACTGCCTATCTCTCCCGTTATAAGTTAGTTTTGGACCTATGCAGTCAACAAGAACCCATTATGTGCCTCTTTACAGAGGCACATAATGGGTTCCACATCCTTACCCACGGGATGGGTATGGGATGCATAATAAATAAAGAAATTTAATTGATATAAATTATAACAAACGCGTTATGTTAATATAGGGATTGTTTATAGTATAGTGTGGAAATATGTGAACTACCACGTTTCGAGTCATGGCTTCGAAAAAGGTCGAATTGGTAAATGTAAGTAGGACTATTTCCGACTGGGATAATAAAATAATTGTGCTTGCAAATTGCGAATCCGCCTTAATTTTATTTTGATAATAACCTATATACTATAAAACCTATTTATTATACGTGGGTTAAGCATTTGAAATGCGCTTTAATCAGAGAAAAAACTATTTTCGATAAAAGTTCTAACGTAATCAACTGTAGAGTCTTGTAAAACAGCCATGTAAAGTCTCTTTAACTCATAAAGAGTAGACACGATTGTTAGATTGTAAAGCTTTTGGTCAATATTTTGATATGTTTGAGGACAGACTTGGTGCTTAGAAAAACTATTTCCCCCTAATGAATATGTAATTGAGCGAGGCTTTTGAAGCCTCGAACTGGCTCACAGGTGATGACGTTCCGGTTGGCAGACAGTTGGTAGCAGTTGGTCACCAGACATTACAGTGAGAGCTCCGGTAAGTCGTCTGTGGGACTGTGAAGGTCATAGGGAGTTTTAAAGCTATGTGAACATGGATGTTTTAGTTGATAGGATGGCAATCTAGGAAAGTAGTGATTAGATTACCCAAATTTTATGTCTAAACAAACAGTTTTACAGTCTTGGAAGATGTAAAGGATTAATACATCTTGGTTATTAAACTATTGTGGCCTCGATACACCTCCAAAGGTTAACACGCAATCACACCATGACCATTCCACACGCTAGAAATTAAAGAAATGACTAGGTTTTAATCGGTCCTGGACCATCATAAAATGGTATGATGAGACGAGGTTGGAATTGAAATAAGTTGAGAGGTACAATACACAAAGGATGAGGTAACTAAAGCTATTCTCACCCCGTTGAGACGAGGTTTGTCTTTAGTCGGCTACTTAGACCGAAAAGTTCAAAGTAGCACGGGTTATGGTACTCCCGCAAGTAGAGGCTCTACAGACATTATCTGCATTGGTAATTGGTACTACACCCGGGGATAGATGGTCTTCATGGTGCCCTTGTCCCGAAAGGCTGGCTGTACTAGTTATGGAGCTGGTGGGTTAGTGTAGATCTCTAAATTTTCTGTAGACAAATAGATATATTTGAGACGAGGGAGGCATAAAGGCAAGGAAAGTGAATAGACAAATCTTAGAGGAAGGAAAGGCAAAAGATACGGAAGGTAGGGTGTAATAATGGGAGCAAGAGAAATGAAGAGTAGGCTTGTTGGGTGAAGTTTATAAACTTCAGAACATTTGAGTATGTACTGTGAAAGGAAAGTGTAAACAGCAACACAGCCAGGACTAAGGTTCATGTTGGGTAGATTATGTATCGGAGAACATTCGAAAAGACTGCGTCTGTATAGAAGCAGGAATTTGTTTTTAGATGACCAATAAATAGGATTAGAACCCTTAACATGATGGAACATTGTTGGTGGCTGCAGACTTGACTTCTATAGTATTACTTAGGTTTGCCATAGTGTATGGCCAGTTCCTTCAAAGTATTGGAGGACGAGACGAACAGGAAAAGTGTATACAAGCGGCTTTTTTCCTACCACAGACGTGGCCACACTTGCAATGCTAACCCGCATATATACATTTTCTTCTTTCCTCCATGGACAGGGTGAGAGATTTGCCAAACGTACAGTTCGGGGATTTATTGAACAATCGACCACAGAAGGTGATTGTAGTGCTTTTAAAAAGCTAGACTAGGTTATGTGTAAATACAGATTTATGCTACATAGTGTTCGATGTCTGTCATTAATGTGCATTTACAAAGGCGAAACGTAACTGATCAGCAAGCGGCATTAGAAGAGAACCAAAGTGTTAGGTTTGCTGTGGGCTCCTTTAACAGTACATACTCAAATGTTCTAAAAATTTAACCTTGCGTAACATAAGCCTACTCTTAAATTTTTCTCCTGCTTCTATTATTGCACCCTACCTTCCGTATCTTTTGCCTTGATACTTTCTTCCTTTAATATTTGTTATGGCCCGTATTACATGCAACCTTGTTCCCATCACAACTAAATCTTCAAAGATGAACAGAAGTGTTCATAAATTTCTTGTTGGTCAAATCTTCAGCCGCGTTGACTTGTCATCTGCATAACGTAAAGAGACGTTAGTGGTTTAACACGGGTATGTACCAAGCGCTATTTTAATTATATTAGGAGGCAGAATGGAATGTGAAGATACTTGGACCAGGTTAATTATTAATGCATAAATGTTAATTGGCTCGCTGTGCCTTCTAACTGTTGTTCATGTCGGTTTATAACTACGCAGTCAAATTAACGGTTAAGTTATTGCATATTACCAAAATTTATAAACCAATCTCCCAACTTTCCACCATTTGACTAGATTTACACTAGATTCATAATTTCTAATTAAAACAAAAATGCAGGAAAATTAATGAAATGTGCATGGTTTGGATGTCTTCTGTAGGCAGGTATAACCTGCTTGACGGAGTAGTTCTACCAAAGCCCGGCCAGGGGCTTTACTGAAGTACTAGTCTATGCATAATTTAATCTAGAGTACCGTTCTCATTTTAGTTTTATCGTATAGTCATCCAGAGTGAGACTAATATCTAGCGACACTCGTGGTGCTATTCCTCTTCCCCGGCTTGGTCACTCTTAATACATTTGAAACGGATAAATGACCCATGTAAATTAGAGTAACAATATTTTGGATTCCAATATTTAATTGGACACTTTTATTTGCATTTACTCTGGCATATAAATGCACACTACCATTATTTGACGGCTAAAACCATAATTGATCCTTTCCAGAAAGCCAAGGAAAATGGCTAGGCACTTGGCACAAGAATTCGGTTATTTGCCCACTTTAGTTTTAAACTGACTAGCATGAAGATGTAACTGTACAAAGCACATTGATAATGGCAAAATGTGAACTAGGGCAGCCTGATCACATTACAGGGACTTTAAATTATCTAACGCAACTAGTTTCTTTGCTCTAGATCACCATTATCATTTGGCTATTTACCAGACTTTGCTTTAGTTTAGTTACGCGGTTATACCTGGCGCTTCCGCATTTGATTTTTCCCGACATGTCGGCTTCCAGGCATCGCCCACGGCTCCCAGCAGCATCAACCATTAGGCTAGTAAAATTGATGCCATGTATGTTTTGATACACTCCCGAGCACTTATAACTATTCATGTTTGACGTGAACCGCTCGTATTCTAATGATTAACCCTTTAAATTAGATTTAATTGGTTCAATGTTGTTGGGTTTTAAAGTGTACTGAAAGTTTAATTTACTATAACATAGGCTATATACACGGTTGAAACTAAATTTCTAAGTTATGAATAACTCGCACCTCACTAGCTGTACTGCCTATGACCTCCATCAGGGTATAATGTTCACTTATGACATTTTAGGGCAGACTACAATGACCAACGAGAACATAAAGTGGCTGCGGCCGGCGACGCCCCTGGAAGAACTGTTCGAAGCGAGGAATCGGCAGGGCACGTTCCTCTCGGTCTACGTCATGAAACTAGGCTCTGCTGCTCCTCTGGAGCCCCACACTGTCAAACAAGCCCTCCTCCACCTCTACAGGTAAGTGGGATGGGTGGGGGTTGAGGAATTATGGGGAAGTGCCTACTGATTCAGATTGTCCCTGGGTTTGGTAGTAGGTGGGCCAGGTAGTCTAGGCAGTAGCCATCATTCTTGTCTTTAATACCCAAAGTAGGCTAGAAACATTTTTATTTCGGTTCCCCATTTTAGTTTACTCCTTCTTAATTTCAGGAAGGTGCCGAACCTCAGAGCATGTTTCGGTAGTTTTGAAGACCAGACTTGGTTCAAAGAGTCGACCAACGACAACATCGACTTCAAGGTAACACAAATTTATTCGGTCCTTTATTTAAACTGTCGCGATGTATTCTCTCGCGTCATTGGTTTACTAAAATACTAGTAGCCTAGTACGTAGCCCTCGTTGAAGTCTTGCTACCAAAGAGTACTTTATGAAATTAAAAAGCATAACTTGTTTAACTAATTTGTTTAATGATGGCCGCAAGATTAGATAACGGTGACATGATTGACGTTTATATGGACGAAAGAATATAACTAGCAAATAAGGCTCGGAAAATGCGGTAAAAATCGTAAAATGTAAATTACTTAAATTTGATTTTTAACTTAGATTAGTTGTATGGAAAAATTAAATGGAAAGGTAGCAACTGGTTTCCTGGATTAAGAGTAGATAACTCTCCTGTCGGAATAAGTTAGAATAAAGTGTAACGTCTCGTATAGGTCGCAAATCTAATGTTTCGTACGCATCCATTGATGTTTACAGAAACGCAAGATTAGGATCCATTAACATCTTGTCACGATAGACATTGGTTTCTAAATTTAAATTTGCCAAGTAGAAGACTGTTGGGTACTGTCTTCAGAGCGCACAGCTGGGACTTTTGTGCAAGCAAAATTTTACTAGTATTTTTACCTCATACTTTACTAGTACTTGGTGACGACGACGACCATAGTACATATAGACATAACTCAAAGTAGAAATCTGACATTGAATTTCGAAATACCGAAAGATTTTTTGTTGCAGAGAACCTAACCTTTAGAGGTCTGATGTAGAAATGGGCTATACTTGGAATAGTTTTTAGCTTGTTTTGTGGGGGGGGGGGGGTTGTGTATGAAGTAACTAGTACAAAATTCTGGAATCTAATTCTTCAGTACGTAAATAGTTAATAAGGTGGTTACAAAAAGTACAAGCTGTACCAGAGGATAGGTTGGCCAACCTGGCTTCTGGTGACTCCCTAGACACATTACAAAAAACTCGCACAACCTCTTTTCAGTGTAATTAGCCCGAAAGGCTTCAAAGGTTTTCCAAACCAAAGATCCAAAGTGATTCCATGCACCCGCCAAACCCCCAGTTTATGAAAGAGAAAGTTTATAAGACTCTCAACTGATTTCGTACGAAAACTTCCGGAAAAAGTGCGTCACTGACGAATTTTGTCCAAACCACGTAGCTGTAAATGCTTCACCCACGTACTAAAAAATATAATAATCGCCAACAGAACCTAAACACCTAACTTGTGCCTATACATCAATAATATGCTAATGTATTAAAACATTTAATTTATATTTGGAAATTCCTGATTTGAATGAACAGCATGTAAAAAGTAATGAATGCCTGTGGGGTCGACCGCTTGATCACGTGGACTTGAGCAGAGGACGTGTTGGTTTTCCTATGTAAACATAGCTTAAAATGCTCAGAACGGTGAGCTCTGTACTAAGATGTAAATGGCTTGGGGCCTTCATTAGGCGGCGGTTATTGTGATGCAGATAGTGTAGCTGAGGACTTTATTTTGTATTCGCTAGTGATGTTATTTTCTTAAGAGGTCGGAAACGAATGGTAAATTTGTTGCAGGTGGTGACAGATGAGGACATGGAGGGAGTCATGACGAGTCTAAGGACTTGTCACTACAAATCCTTCGAAGGGCCACTATGGTGTGCCAGGTTCCTGCCCGACGCCAGTCCTGAGGTACCCGCCGCCAGCCCTGAGGGGCCCGATGCCAGCCCTGAGGAACCCGCCACTGGGCCGGACGCTAGCCCTGAGGGGCCCGACGCCAGCCCTGAGGGACACGCCGCTGGGCCCGACGCCAGCCCTGAGGGACCCGTCGCTGGGCCAGACGCCAGCCCTGAGGGGCCAGACGCCAGCCCTGAAGGACCCGCCGCTGGGCCAGACGCCAGCCCTGAGGGGCCAGACGCCAGCCCTGAGGGACCCGCCGCTGGACCCGGCGCCAGCCCTGAGGGACCCGCCGCTGGGCCAGACGCCAGCCCTGAGGGGCCCGACGCTGGGCCAGACGCCAGCCCTGAGGGACCCGCCGCTGGGCCAGACGCCAGCCCTGAGGGGCCCGACGCCAGCCCTGAGGGACCCGCCGCTGGGCCCGACGCCAGCCCTGAGGGACACGCCGCTGGGCCGGACGCTAGCTCCGAGGGACCCGCCGCCAGCCCTGAGGGACCCGCCGCTGGGCCGGACGCCAGCCCTGAGGGGCCCGATGCCAGCCCTGAGGGACCCGCCGCTGGGCCCGACGCCAGCCTTGAGGGACCAGACGCCAGCCCTGAGGGACCCGCAACTAAACCCGTAGCTGGACCCGACGCCAGCCCTGAGGGACCCGCCGCTGGACCCGACGCCAGCCCTGAGAGACCCGCCGCTGGACCCGACGCCAGCCCTGAGGGGCCGGACGCCAGCCCTGAGGGACCCGCCGCTGGACCCGACGCCAGCCCTGAGAGACCCGCCGCTGGACTCGACGCCAGCCCTGAGGGGCCGGACGCCAGCCCTGAGGGGCCGGACGCCAGCCCTGAGGGACACGCCGCTGGGCCGGACGCCAGCCCTGAGGGACCCGCCGCTGGGCCGGACGCCAGCCCTGAGGGGCCCGACGCCAGCCCTGAGGGACCCGCCGCTGGGCCCGACGCCAGCCCTGAGGGACCCGACGCCAGCCCTGAGGGACTCGTAGCTGGACCCGACGCCAGCCCTGAGGGACCCGCCGCTGGACCCGACGCCAGCCCTGAGAGACCCGCCGCTGGACCCGACGCCAGCCCTGAGGGACACGCCGCTGGGCCCGACGCCAGCCCTGAGGGACCTGCCGCTGGGCCGGACGCCAGCCCTGAGGGGCCCGATGCCAGCCCTGAGGGACCCGCCGCTGGGCCCGACGCCAGCCTTGAGGGACCCGACGCCAGCCCTGAGGGACCCGCAACTAAACCCGTAGCTGGACCCGACGCCAGCCCTGAGGGACCCGCCACTAAACCTGCCGCTGGGCCCGACGCCAGCCCTGAGGGACCCGCCGCTGGACCCGACGCCAGCCCTGAGGGACCCGACGCCAGCCCTGAGGGACCCGCCGCTGGGCCCGACGCCAGCCCTGAAGGACCCGCCGCTGGGCCCGACGCCAGCCCTGAGGGGCCAGACGCCAGCCCTGAGGGACCCGCCGCTTCGTCGTCCCTATCATCACAGGACAGTAATTCTACATTACCATCTCGATCCTTGAACACTTCTCTTACTCCAGCCCCCTTGACCGGCATCAATGGCACGTCTTGCCCTACCTTCACCGCCACGCTGATCTTGGTGAGTGGCTCCTCGTCCCCCGACCTACCCACAGCTGGCTCTCTTAAAGTCTCTCCACCCGCAGCTCGATACACAAGTTCAGCTCCGGTGTCGCCATTATGTGGCCTTAGCCCGTTTAGCCCAACTTCACTTGGTTCTGCCCGGAGGTCGCCGTCGGGTGCTAGTGAAGCTTCATCCTGGTCTTCCCATGTGGAGGAGAGGTCGTCGTTGCCCTACACGAGTCACCTGGCTCTTGGTCTACACAACAGTGTTGCTGATGGCTTCACGGCTATGAAGATCTGTGGGTTCATCGTGAAACTTCTAAACGACGTCATCGCGGGCACGCCTATTGATGAGCAGCAACTTGGTGAATTTGCCACTTGGGAAACCTCTTGGATGGCTTGGGGGATAAAGGAAGTTAAAGACGGAGATGATACTTTACTGATTCAGACACTGAAGGAAGAGTTAAAAGCTAAGAAAAAGTGCAAGTCGGAAGTGAAAGCTCTCTTCAGAGTGCCGGAAGATCCTGAAGGAAAGGCGTGCCACATTACTCGCACCCTTGACCTTGCCTCTACAAAGAACTTCCTCGAGAAGTGCCACTCGCAAGGAGTAAGGCTTCATTCAGTCTTCTGCGCTTTGGCCAACGTGGCTTTCGTGGACCTCTTGGTGGAGAGGGACGTTGTTCGCAACTCCTCCGTCATCTGTAGCAGCCACTACAGCAACCTGCGACGCTATTGGAAGAGCGACTCTTCTCTAGGTCTCGGCTGCAACATTGCACCCTTCCATCTATGTGTAGATACAAAGTCTGACGAAACTAGAGACTTCTGGAGCTATGTGCGGTCTTTCCAAGAGAACTTGGAGAAGGCCTTGGATCATGCCACAATGCGGAGAGAGTCTTCAGCGTTTCAGATATTCGTCCCTGAAGTATTGGACCATAGGCAGGTTTTACTGGAACCATGGCCTTTTGAGACCGATTATTACACATCCAACATGGGTGACGTGACGGCCCTTGTAACGGAGGGAGGTCCACACGTGTATCCGGAACACCTGGTGTCCTCTACATCGATCAATAAGTTAAGCTTTGGATTTTCTCACGTATTTCACACCTTCAGGGGCCGCTTTATCCACACCTTGGACTACAACACACAGCTTGTCACAGAGACGGTAGCAGAAGAGTACTGCAACAGGTTGTTTAAAAAACTACATGAAGTAATAAACGGCTAGGGAAAATGTGTACCATCTTCTTGCACATGCCAGATCTATCTGGTTGGGTACTACTTGATCAACGCAAATTGATGGATAACTGTAAATATTTGTGTAGTGGCGTGTCCACTTCCTAAAATTAGTGCTGTAAACTTTAAAGTATTGCAGGCTGTTTGTATCAGTTAGGATGGAATTAGGGGTTGCGTGTAATGTGCCTGTAACTTGCTGTTTTCAGTCTTCCAGCAAGACCGTAGGACTAAATTCTAGTTTTTCAAAATTTTACCAGCTTAAAGTAGTCATAAATAACTTTTAATTCAGTTTGATGTATTTCAAAGCCTGAATTTCCAAACGTGCAATGTAATTTAGTATACAAAGAAAAATCACTTTTTAGTAAATTTTCACTATATAATTAAGCAGTTTTAATCTTCATTAAGTTATTAACACATCTTGATCAGCTATGGGTTCGTAAATTTGTTTTGAAACTTTAATTTATTGTGTATTTAAATAAATTGTGTGCAAAAAAATATTCGTATCATTTGAGACCAACATGAAGGTCTTCGTTAAACAAAGATTATATACGCCAGCAATTAATGTCCCCTAACGCTTATTGAAGTCGGAGATTGCCATATCTCTACATGTTTGGCTTCTTATGTTCGTCAGTACAGCAATGTGGAAAATTGTGGTGGATCTGCACGAAGTACACTATTAGAACTTTTAACTTCGTAATTAAAGATTTAATTCCGTCCATCCACTTGGACTAGTAGGTACAGAAACGGCTTTGCTTCTTGCAGGTCGGCGTTAGTCCCTGCAGGTCCAAGCTATTGTGCATAATTCTGTCAAATACCAGATATTGGGCCTAGTCTGCCTAATAGTTCTATAGTCGTACTGCCTTAGCTACCCCCCCCCCCCCTCAAATACGTTACCATCTATTTTGAGTAAGCAAATAAAACTTACATTGCGGATCTCTACAAACGGTTGAATGTTAGCGCCAACTTTCTCAGTACCAAAGGATATGATCTCACATGCGTCAGGGTCTAACATTTACCATAATGTGAAACGGCTCAAAATAGTTTCGTGTGGGAGGGGGTTGACTGGGCAAATTTGGTTCCTCGAAAAAGACATTTTTTTGGACCTACCACTTGGGCTATAATGGTGACAGTATTTTAGTCTTCAAAAGTCGGTTTACTCGTGTCCTGGCATCTTTAATTATATCTAGGACTTTTAAGATATAAGTGCCATACTTTTAGGCTTGGTGGCTGCTACTGATAATCGCCTAGTTTGATTCGATCTCCCTGGGTCAGGCATTTATTCTATAATATTTTGAAGACTCTGAATATCCTGTAGGGTTCCTCACTCTTGGACTTCACTTTTCTTTTTTAAACCATGGTTTAGTCCTATGCATTTAACTCCACCCTTTGGATACGAACAGATTTGACTACTTGTTTGTTAATTTCTTGTTGATCCTTTATTTCCTCTGGTATCTGACATTCTATCGCGTACTTTTCTTTACGTGTGCCTTCTACCTCTATCTTTGCCTAAAATGATACATCCCGACTTCATCTTCCACTTTGCATTTGAGTATAATCTCTTGTTTCGAAGGTTACGTCGCCTATTAAAGATTATTTCCTCTTTGGCTGACCTCGGCTTCGCTTAGATACAGACTTCAGTATGTCATGTTGGCCAACTTCCCTCTAGTCTCTAAACCTGTCCCAGGCTACATTCTCTAGTTCTGGTGCCCTTGGTTATCGTATTTAGTTATTCCACGCACCACATCCTGCCTGCTGCTATCTTTTTCCTTCCCTTCCATGCCCAGCATTAGGAGGGGGGGGGGGAACTCCCCTGGTACCCCTCTGTACCAGGGAGTACAGAGGTGGAGGAGAGTAACAGTTTAGGGTTCATCAGTGGAGGGGGAGAAAATTCATGCAGCCCGACACCTAAACCTCTCAATATGGACTGTCTCTCGGTTCCTAACACTTACCATTTCCTGCCCGGTTATCCATGCCTCCGTCCTTACCCGTTGGCAGGGTTCTTGGTCGTCTGTTACTGGTAACAAACTCCGTACTATTAAATGTTGTGTTTCCTCGTGGCCATCCTCCTACCACCGTAACCGGCGATGGGAAACTGCTCTTGCGAGGTTGCGTATTGGCCATACTCGCTTAACCCATGGTCACTTGGAGCGCCGCCCTGCTCCTTATTGTCCTAATTGCATTGTCCCTCTTACGGTCGTGCATATCCTTCTTGAATGTCCTGACTTCCGGGACGAGCGTGTCTTGCTTTCCGACCGCCCCTCGCGGTCACTTGTCCCTCAATAGGATTCTTGGTTACTGATACTTTTGATATCGTTCGCCTTATGCGTTTTTGTACTCGTATTGGCATCCTTGGTGATATTTAGCGCCCTCTGATTATTCCGCACATTTGATGGTGCTACATAGCCTTCCCGGTTTGGTGCCTTCTTTTGATACTTGCTTACCATTTCCTGGCTTTAATATTAATGTTCTGAATCAAAAGCCCGAGGCAACATTGTATAGTTCAGTGTCATTGCAAACGGATCTCGTCATCTAATGATGGCAAGATCCTGAGTTGTAATAAATTAAAAATAAATTTTAAAGGAATTAGTTTTCCCACTCTGCCGATCACAGGGTAAATAACATCCTCAATCCCGATATAAAATAATTTATTATATACAATGTGTGGCGTGACATATATACGTACGTACAGTGTGTATAAACAGTAAATTTTATAATAAATCTTTGGTCAAAGATTTGGCGACATTCAAGCCCCCTCAACACAGGTACGTTCCTGAGCTAAAAAAGATTGAGTTATGGAGTAAGAAGTAAACCTTGCCACACTAGAGAGGGAGAGGGGGGGGGGGATATAATATTAAAGGTTCTAAGGGAAGTTTTCGTAGAAAAAAAGTATTGCTCAAAGCTAGTAACAGCAGAACGAGGTGTCATCGATGGAACTTTAGAGACGCAAATGAGTCGGACATCAGCAAGAACTTTCAGTGTAAGAGCTGTCAAAAATTTGAACAGGTTAAACTTAGAAGTCGTTGAGGCTAATCAGTTACAAAGTTTTAAATGTAAATATAAACGCGTGAGAAACAAGTCTGCATTATTAAAAAAAAAAAAAAAAAATTAGGAGCCTAAGCTCGACCCTTCAAGCACATCTAGGCGAGTACATACCAAATGTCTAATATCACGGTAACAATATAAATATTTTAATTAAATCATTAGTAAAAATATAATTTTTTAATTCAAATTAGTACAAATAAACAATAGTAAAATAATAAAGGCGCACCACTGGGCGCATGAAGCACCGAACTCTTTGCTCCGCTCACTTGGAATTTAAACCAACATTCCCGAGCCATAACTTGTGAAGATATGAAGAGTCTGAGCGCAATTTTTGGGGCACGAAAGCGTAGCTAAAATGAAACAAGTTTGGTGCAATATCACAGTATACGGTTAAAATAAACCTACTAATATGAGACATTATTCCTGGGCAGGAAACATTGCCTTACGTCAAGATCACTTTAATCTTTTGTGTAACATTTTATCGGTGACTAGAATACATTACAACATTCACTGAATTCAACATAATTAAGATCTTTCTAATATAGAAAGACTAGTGCTGCCCAGCAGGTGCGTAAAACGTCCTGTTTACTGTAACCTCCAAGGCAGGCAGCCTCTGCCTTCACAGGGACTGGTCGCCACAAAGTATTATTTGTTCATTTATGGCAAATATCCGTAATAAAATTCACAGCAAAAGCCTATATTATGTTATTAGAAAATCGTCATTTAGGAGAGGAAAGACTGGGTGAAGGATAGGGAAGGCAGATAGTCAGGGAAGACATAACTGTATAGGTTATATATGTATACTGGTTAAAATTTACTGTTGAGGCAACAGCAGACAGAATTTGCATATTCTGTTCATAAAATTACATGTACAGTAAAACTGATTCATGCACATTGACACTTTTACATATGTTAAGCCTCTCATACACAAGCCTCACGTCTATGTAATAATCTTTGTTACCGGTATTTGAGGGACTTTCTCACAACAGATTCTATTTCATCTGCAAAGCGTCGTCCTATGGCCGAGGAAAGAAAGAGAGTGGTCTGATTAATGTAGAAGCGTAAACTACTCGATTCCTCGTGAACTTGGAGGTTGATGTGGTGTGTGAAGAGGAAATGATGCAGGGGGGAGAGTGTGTTGAGGCCCGAGGCCATGAGGTGCTCTCCGCGCCTGTTGAACAGCCCAGAGTCCTCCTGGCGGATGTTAGATATAGAGAGGTCGACATTAGGGAACCGACATGGGAGCTGCTCCTCCTCCTCACCGTCCTCAACATCTAGATTCAGAGGTATTTTCAATGTGTTAGATCTGTGACCCTTATTAATCTCCCACTGCTGCATGTAGACAGATTTTGCTGTTCTCCAGAAGTTTGTGTTCCATTCCTCTGGCTTCACTTTAATATTGATTGCGGGACGTTCTGGTGGCACGCCACTGCCATTGTTGTCATTGTCACCAAAGTTGTCATGCCACTCGTAACGCGGCTCTGGCCAATTGTAGTGAACAAAAACTCTGTGGTCGACGTCTATACTTCCACACTCTGGCCCAGCCCCGGCTTCCAGTATCAGATTGGCAGCCGCAGCACTCACACACGTTACAAAAGCACTTAAGTAACTGATTCGCTTGGCCTTACACTTGTTTATAAAATTCTGACTGGTTAGTTGCTCGATAGTTCTTTCGGTGAAGCTGTTCTCGTCATCTTCATTTACTTCGCCATTATTGTTGCCAGAGAAAATATCAGCATTGTTACCAATCGTGCCACAGACACACTGTAGACTCGCCATAACCTCCAGGTGTGGGTCATACTCAGTCTTCTGTGACTCCGTCTCTGAGGCACACTCTGGCACCCGCTGCACATCGTCAGTAGTAATGCGTTCAGCCATTACATCGTCCAGGAGTTGAACAAGTGTGTCACAGATCTTCACAATGCTTGACTCTTCGGCGAAGGGTTTGGGAACACCTAATAATAGTTGGTATGTGTACATGTTGACCGGAGTAATGCAAGAGGATGGAGCCACTGTATCACCCGAGGTCAGGGTGGTGTCGGCACTATTACTGGAGGTCGTCAGGGTGGCGTCGGCACTATTACTGGAGGTCGTCAGGGTGGCGTCGGCACTATTACTGGAGGTCGTCAGGGTGGCGTCGGCACTATTACTGGAGGTCGTTAGGGTGGCGTCATTTGTACTCGCAGTGACGAGGATAGTGTCAACAGTGCCATCAATGACTGGAGGTGTGTCAACAGCTGCCGCAGTACCAAGACTGGCGGGGTCGGTGTCGGGCGTGTGGGAGTTGCCCAGGAGGGTGGCGGTACAGAGGGGGCCGCCCCAAAGGAACTTGTGCTGGGTCTGGATCTCTTCCATGGTGCTCCATTTACACTCGTCACTCTCTGCTATCTGTGGAGCAAACCAAACATGACACCATTTCCATACCAAACAATGAAACATAAAACATTAATACTAGGGTTGCCAATCAACCTTCTCACATTTGTACACGTTAATTACATACAACATGTGGCAGCCTGTCACCCACATAGATGAGAGTACAATCATACACTCAAAACAATAGCTTTTTACTATTCATTCTGTAGAGGGCTTACTAAAAAAGATAACGGCCAAAGCTAACTTGTCATAGGTCTTGTATGGTTCATATAGGTACTGTACTCTCTTAGAACTAAGATTGCAGTGTGTTAGGCCAAGAATTACTTATTTAGGCTCGGAACAAGTTAGGTTTATGGTTACTGTTTCACTTTTTGTTATGCCATTTCGAATTTCCATTAGTACAAAACGGGAATATATTGGATACAACAGTACATATTTTGTACATTCCAACCACAGTAGTTATAGTTTGGAATGTACAACCCTGTACAATCCAACCAAAATTTGAATGTACAAATGAATTCAACTCTTCCTCAATTTTGGAAAATGGGTCGACAATTTAGCACATGACGATTCGCACAAATAGATGTAACTGACCTGTGTGTGCAGAGGTTGGAGAGGCTCCGTGCACAGCCAGGGAGTTTGTGAGGCCCCTCGACGCCTCAGACGCAGGCGCCACCACGGCCACCTCCTGTCAACACAAGTAAGTAAGTAAGTAATTATCAAAAGAAGGCACCAAACCGGGAAGGCTATGTAGCGCCCTGTCAACACAAGTGTATTATACCTCCTGTCCCCCGTTTTCTTCTTTTCATATTATTTGCTAAAACATTTATATAATGGTAATGTCTTCTCACAGACACAACAGGATAAAACCCCACACTTGTGTATTTGTGGATTGTATGTAAAGATTTATACCAAATTTTTCGCACTTTCCAGAGTGCGAAAAGTTTTTTTAGAAACTAGTCGTTGAGAGGCAAGTCTCGTCCTAACTACACACTCAGATCTTGATAAAGAACTCAGAAGAGTGCGAAACTGTGTGTAAATCTTTACATAAAATACACAAGTACATGTGTGGGTTTTTATTCTATTTATATCCCTGTTAAAAGTTCGTAAATTACATAGGGAAAAACTGCAGTTTTCTGCATCATATCAAAGCAACCTGGACGATTCTGTACCCAATTGCTTTAATTGTAATTTGAAATTTTGTTCCGGAAGGCTAGTTCATTGGGTAGATTCACTCCTTCAGTGTCCGGTAACACTGTATATTTACAAGAAAATAGTATGAATTTCGTTACAACGTATGTATATACACGTGTAACTTTAGGTGCATTACCTTTCGATAATTACTTGTGTATATATATACATACAATACATTTATATCAATGTACTGCATAGCAACAACTGATAGGGTGCAGTGACTACATATATCAGTTGCAATTATAGGTAAAAATCACGTATATAAATGTGGCAAAGAAATGACAAGACTTGTATAGACATGACGTAATTATTCATCTACTCCATTATCGGATAGAGGGGGGGGGGAGGGGGGTTACGTTTGTGTAGAGGAGCAGATCCTGGGAGTTGATTTGTCTTGCCAGGAACCCATGTCAGCGCTGACTCTACCAACTGTCCTGGGTTGCTCGGCGCTCTGCCGGAGATCTTACGCTCCTCCTCATGTGATCAATTAAACAAGTGAAGCGCAGTGGTATACGTCTCCGGCTCGTAACCGAGAGAGGGGTAGACATAAGAACATGAATTCACGAAACTGGAAAAGGTATAGAAAGGCCATTGAGCACGTTTTTCCATCTGATGGCTCTATTCGCCTAGCAGTAAATAGGTATCAATGAGTTAAGCAACTGTTGTAGGGTGCATCCTGCTGAAGGTGTCATTGGACAAGGGGTCCAAGGGGGACCACGTGTAGGCAAAGTACCTCTGATATTTTGGGCAGTCTGCCTCGCCCACAACCACTTCACCGTTCGTGTAGCTGGCATTTCCGCCCTGACGTCACCAAGTCTCAACAACATCCGAACTATGACTTATAATTCTTCCATTTGAAAACCCACACGATAAAAATAAATAGGGGGTTGAGGATTTAATAAAAGCTTAAAGTTGAATATTAATAAAGAAAAATCTGGCCCATTAAAACTTTGCTATTTTGATGGTTGATAACACGACCCCTGCAGTTATCTTAATTTAAGAGCCAAATACACGTCCACTAGCACGGTATTTAGAAGACATTATCAATATAAGTGGGAAATGAAGACCACCACCATCAAAACATTTGTAGCTGCAGCTAATCAGACGCGAGCAATCTGCCAAGCCCAATAGTTAGTGCATTCAATTATTAGCCTTAACTAGTTAGATTTTATTACCCCTAAAATCGAACGACAAGAGCAGTTATTTGGTCGACGGATCGAGTTATTATTCATCGGCCGCTGTGGGGAGGGGGGGGGGGGTAGAAATAGCCTAAGCTACTCTATCCCTTTGAGTTAGTCTAGTTCATTTATTATGCACCCCATACCCATCTTGTTACCCCTTTGAGATGTATTTTTTCTTCTCACTAAACATACTTGAACTTGCATCGGCCGCGATAATCCTATACTCTGAATTCTTATACTTGACAAGTTGCCTTACCTGGCGAGGTGGGTGAGAGCCCGTCTGAGGTGCGACTCTTGGATGGGGCTGGTGGAGCACAGGTCAAGGCTGTGGTACTGTGGGTTCATGGTCCGCACATACGCCTCCTTGTCCTCCACCTCCTTCAGCCATAATACCTTTTCCTCCTCTATGATGCGGCATCTTTCCTCCTCCCTAAGGCGAAGTCGTTCCTCCTCCTCCTCCTCCTCCTTTCCTAAATAGTTGTGGTTCCTCACCTCATCAGTCTCCCAGTCCTCGACATTCCCCCACATCCACCCCTCATTCATGCTGTGGTTTTCTGCCGTTTCCCCTCCCTCCATCTGATCATTATTCTCGTTTTCTTTTGCCACGTTTTGGGTAGTGATGGTAGCTGTGGTCTGGATGGGACTGGTTGTAATTGGCGATTGGTTGTCACTGGTTGATGCTACTGTGAAACTTTGGTTGTCGTTGATGAATACTACTGAGGAATCTTTATCAGTATTTGTTGCCGCTAAAGTATCTTGGCTATCAGTGGTTGTTGCTTCGTCGTTACCGACTGGTGCTGAGGAATCTTGGTTGCTATTAATTGGGGCTGATGCATCGTGATTGCTATTGGATACTGCAACTTGCTCTTGGTTGCTAGGTGTTGGTGTTAAAGAATCTTGGTTGCCAATTGCTGCTGTCGAGGAGTCTTGCTTGTTATCGTCTGTTGTTAATAAAGCTTGGTTGCCGCCGACGGCATGGAAATCCTCGCCTACTGTTTCCATGCTCATTTTGGCATTATCAGTGGCCACAAACACAGCTACACTGTCACTGGCGGGGAACATGTCCACGTTGTTATTGTCACTGGCTTCGGCCATGTCATTAGTATCTACCACAGCGATAGTTTTGCCCACACCGTCGCTCGAGCTGCACTGATCCACCTCACGTTGGCCATTAATGCTACTACTTTGGGTTGTGTCCTTCATATGGGCCATATCTGCACTGGTTTTGGCCTCGCCAGCATCCGAGATACGCCGGGAGTCAGGATCGAGGCGGGGATCAGGGCCCTCCATGCTAGTGGAGAACCCCATTATGTTTGTAGTGCGTCTTGCGTCGTGTTGGCGGTGCCTCCTGTCTCGGTGATCTGTTAACACATATTAAATATATAAACTGGGGTATAATTGGGTTGCAATCTGGTGCTACAAAAACATTTTAAACACTGACTTTAAATTATTGGAAATTTTTTTTATGTAAGTAGGCCTACGTCTGCACACAATAGGATAAAGTAAATGATCTTTTACATATATTTTGGACAATAATATATAATTAATAAATATATATTCGTCTCCCGCTTCCCAGAGGAATGAGTGTAAGGAAAGTGAAGGAGTTATGCCTGACGTCTTTGTAAGACTTAACTCCCCCACCCACATTTGCCCCTACCCCTATATTAAATAATATTATATAGTATATAACAGAGACTATATCTCCGAGGCTATCGGTCCCTACATTTGCATTAGAGGTGGTACCCTTTTTAGGTTAAAAAAAAGATATATATTTATATATATATATATTATATAAAATATAAGAAGTGTGAGAAGAGCAGAGCAGGGAACATATCTGATTATTGGGAGTATAACAGCAGCTTAAAGAGACTTTTGGCTGTGTTGTGCAGAAAATAGTATACCAGCGAAAATAATAAACGTGTAAAGCCTACTATGGCTGGATATAAATATAGCGGGCATTGGATTAAATAAAATCCATTCGAGTCAAAATGTGTCTAGTCTCAATGAAAACCGCGCAAGATAAATGTTTAGACACCGCCAACTCTTCTTCCCTTATAAAGAAAACGCGTGCAATAGGGATCCATAAGATGTTAGTTCGTCTGCCATGTGTTGCTACGCTACGGCAAATGTGCAGAATAATATATCGCAATGATATTTTCCAATCGTGCTGTGCGTGAAGGAATATTTGTGCGAACTTAATTGTTCTATTTTAATGTTTATTCCTGTTTAGCCAAAGGTTTAACAAACTATTCCAATTAGATTGGACGTTTTAGCAACGGTCAATGAAATTGTCAAAGTATGTGTTGTTTTTCCAGATTGATTTTAGGCATTTAGCGTTTAAAACACTAATCTGTTAAAAACCTTAAATCATTAACCAAGATACACAGTATAATTGCAATGGTTTATCAGATTACTGATACCTACGGGGGGGGGGATAAGCAAACCACACGTACGGCAAAACATGACCGCTCGCGCGCGCACACATGCAAACATGCACACACGTGTGCTCATACGAGCCCTGCATGTATAAGCGTGTGTGGCATGGTGTGTGTGTGTGTGTATGTGTGTCGGTATGAGCGCGTGTGAGTTAGCAAGTGCCATGACACTTGTCCAGCACATCAATAGGAAAACATACACGAGAAGCTTGTGAGGACCCACCGTAGCTTCCTCTCTGATAATTATCACTGCAAAAACTAAAGGGTATAATACAAAATTTTGAGATAGAAGCATGGACTTGGTAATTAATATTAATGGCACTAGAGCAGTTTTTTTTAGTTTAGTTCATTTATTATGCACCCAATACCCATCTTGTGGGGGGTGGGTAGTGGAAAGGGTTACAGAGGCACATAATGGGCTCAGGGACTGAACCCCACAATTCATTTAGCTAAGCAAGTTGCAATCTTGATGAGCTAGTTACAAAATTCAGTATAAGTCGTCACATCATTAATGGGTTCCAGATCGACCAAAAGTACAGTTTCTAAATTAAGCAACTGAAATATGTGGAGAGCTAGTGTCACAATTGATATGTTTGTCCTGCACACCACCCTCCATCCAGTGGGGGGGGGGGGCGCACGAACCCGTTTCTACAGTATCAATAATCATGAACTATCGATTGAGGGGAGGCTGTAGTCACGTGACTGACGTGTTTTGATGTCTGCATAAATAATGAGTAACCATGGAATGTGTTAATAATGAATGTTCTATATAAAAATAATTTATACAAACATGAAATGCGGCATTTAATAACAGTACCCCGAATTACAGTGATACATGGTACGTACATGGAACAAATAAACACACATTCTTTAATTTAAATGGGGCTAATTGGCGGGCTTTGACGTATCTTGTTTTAACTTGTGTGGCCATTGAAGAGAACAACTATATGCGAATAATTACATATTTTCTCGTAATCTTACGTAATATTAATTCGCAGATATTTGTAAATTATAACCCCCATGCGAAACGTACGGGCCGGGAAATGTTGAGAGCAGCTGGTCTGCAGTACTCACCTAGTTGTACTTGCCAGGGGTTGATCTTCTGCTCTTTGGTCCCGCCTCTCAACTGTCAATCAACTGTACAGATTCCCGAGCCTACTTTATGTAGGCTTCATCATACCTACATTTGAAACTGTGTATGGAGTCAGCCTCCACCACATCACTTCCTAGTGCGTTCCATTTATTAACTACTGTGACACTGAAAAATTATTTATAATGTTTCTGTGGCTCATTTGGGTACTCAGCTTCCACCTGTGTCCCCTTGTTCGTGTCCCACCCGTGCTGGAGAGCTTGTCTTTGTCCACCCTGTTAATTCCCCTGCGAATTTTGTAGGTGGTTATCATGTCTCCCCTTACTCTTCTGTTTTCCAGGGACGTGAGGTTTAGCTCCTTTAGCCTTTCCTCGTAACTCATACCTCTTAGTTCCGGGTCGAGTCTGGTGGCATACCACTGAATTTTCTCTTTGTCTTGTGTTTAACTAGGTATGGACAAGGGCAGTGGCGGCCTTTGGTGTCAAATATGCAATCGAAGGCATAATGGACGTAACCATTGGCGTAATTAAGCACAAATATGTGGTATAATAGAACTATGAAAAATTAGGGTTGGTTGTCTTTTTCGGCCTCCACAAAAGTCTTAGTACAAAATGTGTGTGTGTGGGGGGGGGTTACAACAGTATACAAATTTACAAACCCCACCCATAGTAATGATTGTACCTATCAGTTTTGGCTGACAGGTTAAAACAAATAAAAAAACTAAACAGATAAGCTGTAACACTATTTCGTCACGAATTCACCCATCTTTATTACACAATGTTTACCAAGCTTGGACGTTCACCGTGTACTGCCACACCCACTCAAAATATTCACCTTTGTACACATTTCCAATTGTCATACTTTCTTTTGGTTTACGTCAATATTATTAAAAAATACATTTTAGTCCCAGTTTGCTAACTGTAGGTAGTAACCAAGTGATTGTAACCTATCCACCGCTGGCCACTGGATGGGGGGGGGGGGCGGTGTGCAGGACAAACGTGTATGAATTGTGACACTAGCTCTCCACATATGTCAGTTGCTTAATTTAGAAACTGTTCTTGTGGTCATGGCTTGAGCCCACTGTTGTGACCAAGTACATTGAATTTTGTAACTAGCATATCAAGACTAATTTTGCTTAGCTAAATGACTTGTCCCTGAGCCCATTATGTGCCTGTAACCCTTTCCACTACAGTCATCTATAATAAGTCGCATTTTTAACGTTGTGATAACCAACGTTACAAAGGCAATCTACTATGAAAAATAACGACTCGCATATTTTCGCTTTATGTGTCAAACTCTGTAGGTTAGGTGGGTTGCTTGGGTTCGTACGTTGCGGACTTTTTTTTTTTTTTTTAGCAAGATCGGGCTGGTCTTCAAACATTAATTTCTAGGTATTTTTGTATAATAGAGCGATTAAAATACTCATGCTGGCTAAACGTGTTTTTTTCGAAATTATATTTTATTTATTTATTTCTGTATACTTCTTACATTCGTGTACAGCCACTAGCACGCATAGCGTTTCGGACAGGTCCTTAATCCTGATTTTTCCGAATATGACCCGCCAAATCGTTCAACAACCAGGTACCCATTCACTGCTGGGTGAACAGAGGCTACGGTTAGGGATTGGCGCCCAGTCAACCCTCCCCTGTCAGGATACGAACCCAGGCCAAAGCCCTCGGGAATCCCCGGGCGAGTGCTTTACTATTGCGCCACGGGCACTGCTTTATATCTTTAAATTCTTATTCTAGTCATATCAAAACAACTGCCGCCACACACGTGAAATACCATCCACTGTATTAGCATGCACAACCGATTCAGAATAAAGGTTTGGCGTGACACCCGCGAGGGACAAAGCCATCTATACGGCCACACGCAGTAGGGCTAAGCATGTCTTCCCACCCGGAAAACAATGACCCCGAGGAAACACAAGAGTGACGCAATACATTCCTAGCCTCATGCCAATAATGTGACATGCTGATCCGCCATTGTCTACAAGTACATATATACCATCACTCCTAAGTAATCGACTCGTGATGATGCAGAGACCGGCCATAACCCCTCTTGTTGGGGTATTATTCGGGTTTATAGGCCTACACACACAAGCATCCGTTTTATAGGCTTACATGTAAGCATTGTTTCATATGCCTACACATTCATCAGTTGGCACTAATATATACACACACACATACATTATATTATATATATATACATATTTGTTTTGTCACGTGCATGTACAGCCGCTACAAACAATATATATGAAACCACTACAGTTTAATTGAAGTTCGTTAAATATTGTTAGTGACAGCCAATGTTACATGTTGGTTTTATTTAGCTTGTACAAGTTAATTCTACAAGTGTTGACAATATTCTACAAGTGGACGGGCCCAAGAGCGACTGAACCCCAGCAAACAAGCACTCACTACGCAACTTCATTTTTAATTCAGGTATTTATCGCCGAGTCACGTGACTCGGCAAGCACTTGCGCAATCCTTTTAAGACATTGATCTTATTCGATCTAATATAGTAGTAATTCCCTGAAATATTTAAAGAATATTGAAATTAAATCAAATTCAAGAAAACTTACTGCACTGCGGAGCCGCCGCTAGACTGCCAAAAACGATATCTGCGTCGTACGCTGATTATTTTGTCCCTATACAAAGTCCTGGCGTCTTGAGGCGGGTTTGGGCGTCTGCTCCATATAACCCCTTCACAACCTGGTTACCATAATCCACAACACTTGTGTGTGGGAGGCGTGGAGTTCAGGCACGGGCACCCAGCTGGAGGTTGGAGGGAGCGTGGCCGTGCACTGTGGTAGTGGGGCGGAGACTGGGGTGATGGAGGAGTCCGCGGCACAGGGTGGGGGTGCTTGCATACTGCCCTCCCCCACCACCAACACTGACGCGACGTGGTGCAATGCTAACACCCTTAACCTCACCTGTCTTTTCTACCCTCTTTCTCTCTCTCTTCCTCTTTCTGAGTTCTGGTTCTGACTCTCTCACTGCTCTCCCCTCCCCATCTCTATCTTACTGCTCTCGTCCTCTCTCTCTCTCTCTCTTACTGTTCTCCCCCCCCTCTCTTTTCTCTTACTGCTCTCATCTCTCTCTTACTGTTCTCCCCCCCCCCCTCTCTTTTTCTCTTACTGCTCTCATCTCTCTCTTACTGCTCTCCCCCCCTCTCTTACACTCATTGCTCTCTCTCCCTGGTTTAATGACTGACTCTAAAATACGTATATTATTGCAGGTATATGTTGAAAACTGATAAATCTAGGAAAGATTAACGGGATATTATTTGTTTAAACGGGATTTTTTTGTATTTTCTGCATATAAATATGTAATAAAAAAAAGTAAATATATGTTTTATGGATAATAAACATCTTCAATACAAAGAGTTGTTAAATATATGGCAACTAGGGTACACATAAACACAAGTTACACAGTATTTAGCAACACGTGTTGCAATGATGTTAGTGAAGCGAAAATAGATAATTACACAATTTTGTTTTAACATCACAATAACTTACTGGCCAATCAGCAATATATACTTTATCCCTAGTCAAAGTCCAGAATTAGGTATCAGTGTATATAGCCCTGTATTTATTAATAGCTATTCTGCAATCATTTCTTGTAAGGTCTTCCCTCGTGTACTTTTGGATGACATCTCCCAAACGTTTCGCCCACGTTATATGAATATGAATGATGAAATTACTCTTAAACTGAGGATGCCCATGTTGACAATGTGAGAGGCTGAAACCCACGAAACTAGCATTCTGGAGAAACTCCAGGGCCCAGGAGGATCGGGTGTAGGACTGAATGATAAGAGAGATGGTGTGGAATGAAAATCTGGTCCCGTTTCTACTAGCGTTCACAACTGTAGTCACTGTCAAGTAGGAAGGTTTGTCACGTAAAGTACTATTGTGAAGTTTGCTAACACGGGTAGACCGGATAATGAGGATTTCTTTAATCACAGGCAAATTACATAATTTCAAGAGTTTCCCAGTATCTTAATGCAGACAGGTCTACGGGGATTAATGACTGCACAGTCAATAAATGTGGGGAATATATGCGAGTGTCGTAGTTTCTGTTAAATTTTTTAAGTGGTGTGCCGAAGGTTGAGAGATTGGTTTCCTTCAACTGCCAACCGCAGGTATCGGTAGTCCAAACAGATTCTCCCAATTAGTATATATATCACACTGGTGGATGTTTTGTGATATACTTCCACAGCTTTCAAATCTGAAAACGGCAGTTTTATCCGTAAGGCAAATGGGTCGGCTGCCAAAGAACCCTGCATAAATGGAATGCCTCAAAAAGTGTCCTTTCCATTTAAAATTGTACACATACAGTATAACAGATATATTGCAATACCACAATTTTGAGTTATAAAGCAGCTCGTGCAATGTATGTTACGTAGGATTATGAGAGGGACTACTTTTTCTATTGATATCTTGTAAATCATGTGGCATTGTTAGTAGCATGCTTGCCATTCTCCCCACAACCATAAACACCCAGGTTTTATGGGTTCAAATCCTGGACAGGGTGGGATTTGTGAACTGGAGCCAGAAGTCACACACGTTATCTGCTCTAAAATCATGTAAAGAAGTCGGCATCATTATGACAAAACATTCAGGTGGAAGTAATTAACCAAAGAAAATGCTAAGCCAGTATAGCTACATTAAATTTTCTGGTACAAACTAAAGGAGTTGAGAAACTTACCTTAAAATGCAAATTCAAACCTCTTGATTAGGAGAAGTCATCTGATCCAGATAGTAGGAGAAAGTTGTCCTTTACTCAGCGATTCAGAACTCCATAGCTCCACCAATAAGCAGGCACAAATCCAAAAAATACAATGAAATAGTGTTCACACTTAATTAAGGACCAATCTCACAGCTTCCTAGGAACAAGGTCAGTTTAAATTGCTGCTACACAAATGCCAAAATTGTGGTACATAAATTTAACAAAGTATGTGCAGATACAGAGGAACAGAATTCTGACATTTTGGGATCAATGAAACTTGCAGATGAGAGAGAAATGAAGGGGGAATTGTATCCTCTAGCCTACTACCCACTTCTCACAAAAGACAGAAGTTACAGTCTGTGGATGCACAGTGGTAACACTTGCCCTGTACCTCATGAGTGATTTAATCTGGGATCGAGTGCTGGCCAATGAAGATTGACTAGGCACCAATCCTTATTTCTTGCCTCTGTTCACCAGCAATAATTGGATACCTGGTTGATAACTGGAGTTATCGGTTCCTGTACACACACCCTGAGTTCACAAAATAAAATAAATAAATAAATACAAATACAAGTAAACTGATAGTGGGAGTATATTACAGGACAGGCACAGCAAGAGCAGTAGTAGTTACAGATAAGCAAAATGTGTTACAGGCAGTGAACTACTTCATGTTGTTTCATTTACAGATGCTGGTTCACTAGGAAAAAGAATTGCTTAGTAAGAATTTTGGCATACAGAGCAATCTCCAAGTCATACTTGTGCAGCATTCAAGTACATAAAACCATACAAGGCCTTTTCATTATCAAATTTACGAGGTTGCAATCTGCCAGCAAAAAGAGTAAAGCATTTGGCTAGCGTTTTAAAAATTCTTGCAGAGCAAACGTTGATTTGCAGAGGTGGTATAAAACAATTAGATCTTCACACAATGGCAATTACCTAGGTCTATAAGAATTCATTCCAGAGAATAATGCAGTCTTAGGACAGCACCTTCAGACTAAAAGCTACCCGAGCACATCCACAAGGGCTGTGATGAGGGTTTTTGAATCTACATCCGAGAGTATCCTAGACGCGCCTCAATCGAGTGCTAGTCGCCCTTGTGGATTTGTTCATTTTATGAATCACGCTATTGTGATTTCTCTGTGTAATAAAGCTACCTGTAATACAAGCAAGGGACATGCCTGTTATCAAGCGAGTGCTAGTTGCTAGTTTAGATAATGAAAAAAATAATAATTTCAAATCATAGTTAAAATGACAAAATACTAATCTAATATGAACATAGGTGAATATATATGTGATGACAACACTTGCCTTACTTAACTTGTCATTATATATCGCAGGGTATTCTATTATGCATGTACATCTAATGTACATTATGTAAAAAGTTTCTCACATTCAATTATAGACAATGTCTTTGCAGAAATAATTTAATGCACATTTAAAAAATATTACCATACAATTTATACATTTTCAAGTAATTTGCAGCTTAGTAAAATATACTACAAACCTTGCTTATTGCACTACAATACTGTGCTTTTGTCTACTGAACAACAGAAATATAACCAGTCTAGTTTAAATAAATATTCTTGAACACCTTAACTGCATATCTAGTAGAAACCTAGTTTATGCATTAATCAAAACAAATTGTAATAATTTTTAAACATCTTAAAACAATTGATACATCTGTTATTAAATAAGGCAAATTAGGATTACAGTTATGACAATATAGCTTTAATATTGGAAGAATTACAGTATTGAAAAGCCAATAGGATAAATATATCTGTGCGTAATGAGGAGCGTAACGCAAGATTTAAGAATGTTCCCATGCAACTGTTGGGATTTCTTGTATATTCTGCATTGATTATTATTCAAATTAGATTTTTACCAAGATAAAAATATTAACCACATATTGAGAATGACTGGAAACATTATACCAACTATTTAATAAGAAAGAATTGTGGCTGTACAATGAGAAACAAAGATATTGCATGAATTTAATGAAATTGATGGCAAGATTTTAAGAATATTTTCAGATTGAAAACAAAAATGGTTGAAAAATAAACAAACATGTTCATATACAATGTACATACTGTATATATTCCAACATTTATAATACAAAATATCGCGGTGCTCAACTCTGGAATTATTCCAATAATTTTTAGTTCAATAAATATCGTATTTGGTTTAGATGACATACAGACAAATTTAATGCAATACTTTAAATCAAATCTAAGAAGGCACCAAGGAAACATTGTACACCCCAATACAAATTTATCCATTATCTATATTTAGAACTATGCAGTTGGACAACCCACTTTAAAGACTGGATATAGTTCAATAGGCGGCCAAAAATATCAACCGCAACAACCTCAAAAGTCGTAAACGACACCTTAACATCCCTCGTGTAGGAGCGGGATAAGAAACTGCTTTGTGTTCCATATACTTACCTCTAATTCAATTTAAGTAGAAATGTATAGGGCCTTTAAAATACACGTTTCTATTATATTTCATTAACCTGTATATTCAGTAGGCATCTTCACCACAATTTTTTTTTAAGAATTTTTTTTTTAGTTGTGCTCATGAAGGAAGACCAACCCATGACAAGGCTCTGTGTACAGTACTGTATTGTATAACTATCATCAATACTTTGATACCATTTTATACAGTAACTGTCAGTGCTTATCTAGGGCTGCTAATAGATTGTAACTTCTTGTAAGAACATGTACAATATTTTATTTTACCCATGGCATTACAAATATTTACTAATATACTGTATTCAATAAAAGGTAAATGTCAAATTATTACTGTAAACTTGTAAGTCTCTTCAGATGTAAATGTCTTTGTATGACATTCAGATATCCTTATTCAAAACTGGCACCGAAAGATTTGACATTTTGAGTCGTGTATATAAAACAATTTTTTTAAGCTTTCCACATTATTATGCAAATTACATATACAGTATATCTATATATATTATTCACAATCAAGTTGATAATGGTCCAGGACGGACCAAAACATCGTCGTCTCTTCAATTTCTAGTGTGTGGTTTGGTTAACATTATGCAGATATTAAATTGTCTTGTGATAGTACACAGCCACTGATTGTTACAAAGTACTGTACCATTAAATTAACCAAAATTTGTTGTAGCCCACATCAATTGTTAATTCTTTCCCTTATCTTCCTTTAGCCCAACGGTCTTGTTGAAAATAATAAAATCAGAGGTAGAGTCGGGATCAACTGAAAAGAAGCCCGTGCGCTCAAACTGGAACTTGGTGTACACTTTGGCTCCTCTAACAGAGACGTCTGCTAATCCCACCGAGACAGTGAGGGAGTTCTTGTTGATATCGGTAAGGAATCCACCAGGAACCACAGATACATCCTCCGGAAACTCGTGTTTAAATCTGAAAATGGCCAAAATAAATTACAGCTGGGTATTGGCTATTCACTTTAAATCCAGTATGCATAATGATACTGTACACAGGTATATTCACTTATATCTGTGTACAGTATCCACTTGTACCCGAGTATCTATATCCACTAATGATATTCACTTAATTGACTATACACAGAAGGTATTTGTCTAAATTAAATGCTGCATGTCAGGGATATATAAACACAGTATATATGTATTGGAAATAACCTTATTCTACACGATTATATAAACTAACTTCTGCGAATGTGCATCCATTTTCTTCCCTGCCTCTTAAGATGTTGATAGCTTCAACTAAACTTCCTTTAGTTATATTAGCCCAAATAAAATTGTAAAATGAACTTTGGACACTTAATTTCTTAAAGTTTCTTCCCAAGTGAAGAACATACAAAAACTAGAGAAGACAAGAATCTTTAGAATCTGATCAATGTTACTGAGATCCACCAAAATAGAATGTCTATTAGAATGATACTGATGTTGATAGGCACATTACTGATAACATACGTCAACAATGGATAAAAAAAAAAAGTGGTTGTAATTAAATTGGCACGCAACTTACAATCGTTCGTACTGGCGCACTTCGCATTTGACTGGATGAGCCACCCAGTGGATAAATGCCTTTGGCTTGTTTGACTCGGTTGCTGGTTCACATGTGACCTTGAGGTGGTCCACTTCACCAGACGTTCCTTTGACTATTTCCTGCACTTTTATGACGTATCCACAATGCCTTAGTCCAACAGTCTGTTGTGGGGTTAACCTTCTGTAACCCCTTTCTTCCACCTACATATACAAAATATTCAAATTACTTAAACAAAAATCAAAAGAAAAAATTCCATACATTATTCTCCCCTTGCACTCATCATGCCATATACATATATTCAAACAATATATAATTTATCTTAAATTATTTCCAGGGAAAAATGTTGGCAATGTCCACTTTTATGAAAAATGTGAGCAAGTGAAAGCAAGGTTCTCGCTTGCAAGTCATTTTCATTCCTTTTATATACCTAAGCATCATGTAATACCAAAACTATTTTCCATAATCACTATTTTGTAATATTATAGAGGTAAAGACTAGTTACTGCATGACTTACAAAGATAATGTAATCTATCCTTGAATGGCCCTTTAATACTTGTTAAATTTATGATTCAAGAACCTATCTTTCTTATCTTACTACGGTATAAACAAATACCAAGCTTACACTTGCATTATAGATAGCCGTTACCATTTCATCACCTCTCTTATCTACTTATCTTATCTACCACTTCTAGATCCTAACACCACACACATACACACAGATCATCCATCTCCACAGCCCAATCTCAGTTTTTCACACACACACTGCACTAGTTTAAAACATAATGCATCAATGTTAGAACAGTCGCTCCAAACGGCCCTCATCCTCTTTTTATCGTTTCCTTATTTATTTAATGACTTACCTCTCTGAAATCTGAAAGCTCAATCCAAAGTTCCCGGTCAAAAATTACGGTGTGGGTACCCTTAGCATCATTGCCAGGTATATTTGGTACGGTTATAGAGATGGGGCCATCTTTAGGATAGTTTGTGATGACCACTCTCAGGGGCTCCAGAACAACCATAGCTCTGAGGGAAAATACATGACAAATTATTTAATGGAGTTACAACTTGAAAATAAGCAGTCAAACTATATATTAAAAAAAAAAATATTAACATCAAGTGAATGTTTATTTCTTTATCCTCCCCAAGCCCCATCAATCCGATATAAAACAACAGAGTACCCAAAAATATGCTCAGTCTAACTGGATAAACTAAATGTTAAATGCAATTTTTAATACCAGGTACATACCAATAAAACTGGCTACTTGTAAATTGCAGAATTTAGTATCGTTATTCCTGTCATATATTTATTGTTTATGCATTAGTAAACACTGTCCTTATACAGGTAATCACTTGGCTTGGATTGACTGGTGTAATGAATATATCCATGCAAACCCTAAGGAACAAGTGCTTACTCTCATTTGCAGCAGCACCAGTTATTTAACTACACCTTAAATAAAATTTAAAAAATACAGGGTTTAATGTTGGAAAAACAAATAGCAGTGGTAAAATCCTCTTGTATATATGGCACAGCCCCTCATAATGAAGTCATTCTGGCAAGATGCAAAAGCAAATAGCCCACATTCTGTATGTGGCGATAAAAAGAGACTTTATGCAAGACAAAAAAACAATGTAAAGGTAGAGAACAACCCATTTTCACATGTAATACACCAATATTTTGATGCTATGGACATCGGCATCCAAACTGAAGTAGCTATGTGTTATTGATGTCCCTTAATTTGTACACATTCTTAATCTAATAGGCATCAGCCTCAATAGATTAGGTGGGTTAGTCTAGGTTCCAATGCACAGGGTAAGGTAAAATACTCCTTCAAATCAGATGCTTCCCAAATCATAAGAACAAGGTGGAAGGAAACGGCATATACAGATCATTAAGTAATATTGCCCAGACAAAAAATCAACTGACAAAGCACCCTTTGTACTACCCCACTGGTGATCAAGACACACAGTGGGCGCAAATAACACTTAACTGCTTGCTTGCTTACTTCCCAAAGATCACTTTACAGAATACAGTACTTGAACATATACATGAAACTTGAATACAAAAATAAAGAAATATACACACAACATTTGTTCAACCTACCTATGGGCAGAAATATTGAGAACATCACGAACACATGCTTCCAGGGCATCAGGATGAATGACAATTTGAGCACCGGTTAATCCTAGCGTAGCACAGAAGTTATTGATTGCTTCTGAAGGAAACCCTCTTCGACGGAGAGCTGTCAAGGTGAAGAGTCTGGGATCATCCCAGTCTATAATAGAACAAGATTAAAAGAAGTTAGCCTTAGTGCAATTATTCCTAACACATGTGCAAAAATATAGTTTGCCGAATTGAGCAATTAATGATTGGAGCTTATGAACCAATTGCTCTCTAACAAATGCAAGTATTAATGAAACATTAATCAATTAATCCTCTCTGCAAGGATTAATGAAAGATTTTTGCTCCACATGTACCATCTGGGCAGTGTCAGTTTGGGGTTAATCTCGGATCCCTAAGCTTCCTTCATCTTTAAGAATAGATCGGACTCTGGTCCTAGTATTCGGTAGGCCTGCACTAATCCAGGAGATTTGTAGTCTCATGAATGTCTGTGTGGTACCAGAGAACTACAGAGATGGAATGGGAGAGAATAATCAGGGGAAAGCGCCAAGCCATTACGACTATATTGCACTTGGAAGGGGTCAGGATAAGGATTTGGGATGGGATGGGATGGGATGGGGGGGGGGGGAAGGGAAGGAAAGGTGCCCAACCACTTGGAAGGTCAGGGATTGAATGCTGACCTGCATGAAGCGAGACCGTCGCTCTACCATCCAGCCTAAGTGGTTAGCCATCCCAGAAATTAGGGTTGATGATAGGTACTTATAAATACATCAATAGCTCGTGACGACACTTCCCCAATATATACTGTACAGCCAATCTCGGATCCCTAAGCTTCCTTCACCATGGATCACTAACCTTACCAAAACCAAACCAAACCAAAAACAATACAATAATTTTTTGATAACCAAAAAAAGCTTAACATTCCATACATCATGCAGTAAAACACTATGTACTCAGAGAGGGGAAGAACTATGCAAAGTATGGATTTTGACAATGGCAAATTCCTTGCGGCTACAATAGCAGTTTAAGCATAAAATAACTAAAATATCTATGAACACAGTTCAAATGAAGGTTATCAAGCACTTTGAATTAAAAATTAGCCTTCTTCAAACATGAGAAATGTGTAACCTTTTACCTACCTCGAACATAACCTTCCGATATGAGTTTGGCAATTTTACGTTTTGAGACAACAGTATAGCACATATTTAGGCGTCCATATTCCCACTGGACAGGGCAATAGATGTCCAGAGCATTGCACAGCCAGTAATATGACGAGCGTCTGCAAAAATATGTCGAGTTCAACACTTATTCACGAGATGAAAATTAGTGATCAATATTTTAAGCAAATAGCTTTCAAATTATATATATATACACATATATATATATACATACAAACACACACACTATCATTGTTCTTGTAAGAACATATACAGTATTTTATTTTACCTATGGCATTACAAATATTTACTAATACTCTATTCAATAAAAAGTAAATGTCAAATTATTACTATAAACTTTTAAGTCTCTTCAGATGTAAATGTCTTTGTATGACATTCAGTTATCCTTATTCAAAACTGGCACCAAAAGATTTTTACCAATACAGTACACTTATAATCAACTAGTCACTAACATTCTATTTCAGATCCAATTCATTCTACAACCTTGTTCTTTTCAAAACCACCTTTACTCTTTATTACATTTACAATGTGTATACACCATTTCAATGTACTTTCACCCATGAAAATTTATATCAAATTTTTTACACTATTTTTAGATTTTTGATATACTAAAATGGCTTCTAATTTGCCTCAACAAAACTAGTAAATGTGCAATAAATGTTGCCATGCAACCTGTTCACATAATCAATTATGCATATAGCTCCATACCTTGCCTGAAACTCTTTTGTACAGAGAGAGTGAGTAATATGTTCAATGGAGTCACAGAGACAATGGGTGTAGTCATAGGTGGGGTATATGCACCACTCATCACCCGTACAGTGGTGTGGCACGAACTTAATACGATACGCCACAGGATCAGCTTTCCCTTCTTCCAAGATAGTTTTCAGTCTCAATGTCGCTTCACCTTCATCAAATTTACCATGCTTCATGTCCTAAGGAATTAAAAAGGAATCTTGTTACACAATTATATAACAGCCTCCCATACAAAACACTCACCTAGCTTCAGAGTTCCAGAACTGCAAGCAGCAGAAGAAAAAAAAAAAAAAAAAAAAAAAAAAGTGCTCATTTTCATAAATGCCCATCCCCCCTAACCTGTTATCTGAGTGAACAGTCATTAAGTTATACCATAACAAAATGTGCTACCATTTCCTTTATATCCATGTGCAGTTAAAAAGATACATTTACTTATCACCGAGTCAAAGCATATTACCTCAAACAACTGGAGAGATTCACGAGCCGGTCTCTCCCTCCAGGGAGAAGGTGGGGCATCACGTCCCCTCACCTCTTCAGGTTTCTGGTGACATACGTAAGCTAAACCGTTCTTGATGAGCACAATGGCCCACTCGTACAACTGATAGAAGTAGTCAGATGAATGAGTCACCTTGTGTGGCTTGTAACCTGAAAGACAAAAAATCCGTAACAAATTCTGCTCAATAAAATCTCCTCTAATTATTGCTATCTGGCTTCTAATACTGTACTGATATTTTCCTCAAACATAGCATGGTAACTTGCATCAAATTTCCTAAGCCTTTACCTTTTTCACAAACAAAAAGTTTTCTGTCAGTTTCCTATTAAGCTTACCAAGATAAATAAAATCCAATATTAGTTTTGTATTTACATCAGATAAAAAGCATAAACTAGACTGGTGCACACTAGTTTATTATTAATGTGTAATTTTTTATCAGCTTATCACCTCATTTAATGTCTAGTGCAACTTGCACTTTATTAATTAAATTTTGATAATTTTAACCAACACTTACCAAGCCACTCTACCATCTCCCTGATCCCCACAAAGAACTTTTCTTCTTCCTTTTCTGGGTTTGTATCATCATAGCGGAGAAAGCAAATACCATCGTTGGCCGCTGCATACCCAAAGTTAATATTGATAGCTTTTGCATGGCCTATGTGCAGAATTCCATTAGGCTCTGGAGGAAAGCGGGTGCGAACCTGGAATGAGAAGCCAGAACTGTACGTGGTTTTATAAACGTCTTACAAAATAAGCCAAGTAATTGCACCATTTGTGAAGATAACTTTATAAGTTTACCTTATCTTTCAGAAGAAATAATAATAATAATGTATATATCTCACAGAATTGGAGAACACCATACTTAATGAAGGTGAAGGAAGACAAAACATGTGTAAATGTAATATTAAAGCAAAATTTTTATATGACATCTACATCCTTGATCAATGTTCTGACCAAACAATGTTCTAAACATTGTGTAACATCACCTTAATAAAGGAAGTAGGATTCATCCAAAATCAGGTCTTTCCTTCATCTTACTACAATTCTTTAGAATTTGAATGAAGTTTTCTACCATATTTAAACTAAAATTACAAAACAATATAACATTCATATACACATTAAAATTCTGGACTTGCTACCACGTAATAATTCCCCAAAAAATGAAAATACATATATATACCCTATTACCTGTCCCTTGTGGGAAAAAAATCAAGATTATTCTAACAGCAGATCTTTCAGTAACCTTAGAACTAATTATTTGGAATATAACTCAAAAACAAATAATCTGAAAATAAATGATAACAAGAATAAAGAAAAGCTGTGGAAGGCCTACTGACCCGTATGAGGCCGCTCCTATGATCCTTTCATTCAAATGAATTACCTGTCCACCAGTAATCCCCAGATGCTCTTTTAAGAGTCTGTGGGTGTTCTCAGTTATGACGTAACCTTCCGTCTTGTGATTCTCTCCAGGAGCATGGAAATTGACTGTCTTTAGGAATTCTGCCATAGTCATAGGTTGTTTCTCAGCTGAAAATTAAGAGCCAACAAAATTAAAATTAATACCCAATTCACTTATAAAGCACCGAATCCAATTTTTAAATTCTATATTTTATATTTACACATCACCAGCCAACATTATTATAAACCTACTTTTTTTTTACAGTGAACCTGGTAGAATGAATAAATGAATGTATGTATGTGTATATATCTGTATGTATGTAAAAGGATGTATATAAGTATGTGTATGTGTGTTACGGACCCGAGCCCAGCGTCCGAGCACGGAGCAGTGACGACCACGCCATCTGTGGGTCAGCTCCCGAAACCCCCTCCAAATGGACGACGCCATCTAGTGAGGACGAGATATACTGGCCACAAGGGCTAGTTTCCCGTCCTGATCAGCTCATAACACAGCCGCTGCTGACCTCTGGTGAGGTGATGCTTAGACAGCAACGCCATCTATGGAGTGGATAGGTGGGCGTTTGTGTCTAAGCCTGTAAGTGGGGTGCCCGAGAGTGTCCCTATTACTGATGACGTGTCTGATTACAGAGTCGACCTGGGACTGCTGTGATGGAAGTTGGATCAGTCTACCCAAGGCAGCCGAGTAACCTCCACGCATTTGCCGCTGAAACTGTGAGTCACCCCCCCCCCCCCCCGGATGAACACTGTTGTGTTAGCCTGCCTGTGAGGTGGCAGATCCAGGGATTGTCGTGCCCGGGGCCGACTAGTGGAGAAGACTAACCACTGGGGTGTTGTGGTGAGGAGAGTGACCTGTGAAGTCACACGAGGCTCCTGCCTAGGGCTCGCAACCCTAGTATCGGTCGTGGAGTGGCCTAACCAGCGGAAGTGATTGGAACCTGCCAGCTACAGGCTGGATTTGTGGTTGACGGCCTCCACGACGGTGCCCCCCAGTGGAGCTGTGATTTGGCTGGCCTGTGGCCAGGGTAGACTAGAGAATCGAAGGATTCATCATGAGGCCACAAGAGGACCGTGGGCTAAGCATTGTTGAGCACCGTGGAACACTCCGCGTCTTCAGAGGAAGACCACATTGTATATTCTAGTGTTTATAATGTGTGATCATTTACATACTATTTATGGTGACGGTGATAATTATATTATTAAGTTTTTGCCTTTGTCTCCCTTCCCCTTTAATTTACTTGCGTTACGGAGCACACCTCTTGAAAGCCACTACTAGCTTGGGGCCGGATACCCTAACTCTACTAACATCAGAGAAAGAACCCTGTTGCGACCCCAGAGGGCCGTAACAATGTGTATGCTAGAGGGGGAGGGGTACCCAGCTGCACCCGAGTCTGTCTCCACCCCCCCTCTTTCATCTCCACACACACACTGTACATATATATATAATATACATATATATACAAATGTGTGTATATCTTGAGGTTATCTTGAGATGATTTCGGGGCTTTTTAGTGTCCCCGCGGCCCGGTCCTCGACCAGGCCTCCACCCCCAGGAAGCAGCCCGTGACAGCTGACTAACACCCAGGTACCTATTTTACTGCTAGGTAACAGGGGCATAGGGTGAAAGAAACTCTGCCCGTTGTTTCTCGCCGGCGCCTGGGATCGAACCCAGGACCACAGGATCACAAGCCCAGCGTGCTGTCCGCTCGGCCGACCGGCTCCCCACTCCCCGCGTATGTGCGCACTTTTGAAACTATTATTTTCAACTCAATATTTGCTATCCTTCTATTTTATATTTATGTTAAATTATAATATTTATGTTTGTTAAATATATAACAAACTAGGTTGCATGGATTTATGGAATGTAAATTATAGATGGTGTTAGATTACAATTATAGTACTGTAAGTGAATTAAGGTTCAAACCTGTTATAATTAGAATGTTATAATGATGGTACAGTGAAAAAAGTAATTATAAAAAAAAGGCACCAAAGTACAGTGAACCAGTCAATGTACTGTACTGTACTCTCATGACTCACCTGGCTGCTGCACTGGTGCTGCCGTGCACACCTCGGCCTTCTTCTCTTTCTTCTCACATTTTGCTTTGACTGGCTTGATTAGATCTTCCTCTCTCTTAGGACCTAAAAGGGTCAGAATCTGGAGATCAATCTCTTCTTTAACTTTCCGACTGTCAGCCCACTGGAGAGATGATCGGACTTGACCCATCAGTGGTCCCGTGTTGTACTGATATCTGTGAAGCAAGCAAAAATATCATAGTTCAATGACTGATGATTGAGAACATCACAACAAGAGATAAGCTATAATATATATTTTCTGACAGTGGATACTTTGACACAAATTGCTCCAAAAATGCTTCTTCAAAATTTCTTGAATTGTGTATTTCATTCACACAAACCCCCATCTAATTTTACATAATTTAAACACATAACAAACATAACATGAAAAACACAAAGCTCAAGTAACTTAGAACCTAAGAATGATACACTAATACTAATTACTTTATCAGACATGATTCAAAAGCTCAATAAGGTGCATACCAACCACCACAACACCTAAACTCTCCTATCTTACCTCTGTTTTAGAATAATATCCTGCTGTTTCTTGATCACAAGTTCAACTGCCGACTCAATCTCATCCTGGGACACCTCTATCCCCACACCACATGCCTTCTCAAACTCATCCTTGTCAATATTCCCCATGGCATGGTCCTATGACAGGCAATATATATCATTCTCAGAAGGCAATATGTTAACATTTTCACCAGTGGTGATACGACAAACTGCACAACGTAACAACTGGTTACTCGGGAAAATACAAGTTATTTGCCCCATTACGGTTGCATATTGTCTGGATACAATGTTTAGTAGCTGATTATTTTATTTTAATATATATAAATTAGCCAAAAATGTAGCATTTCAATCCTCTAAATATACAGTACACATAAGGTATATACATAATTTATACACTAAAGCCACATAAAATATAGTATGGTATAGTATACTTTATTCTTAATACAGTATACTGTGCAATATTTTAATTTACTGATACTGCATACTTATCACAAAATTTAATATTTGTGTAAAATCATGATTATATTACCATATCAGATGCGGCACAATAGTATTACTGTAGTGTATATATATAAATATAATAATTACCTGTATAAACTTAATTGCTGCCGTGAGCTTGGCTTCTTGATTTATAAGACCATCAGCCACATAATTAACTAAGAATGGAAGACTTTTATGGAACTGGCGTGGAAGCTTCGTACCTAGGTTATACAGCAAATTCCCAGTGTTTTTGCTGAGATCGCCTTTCCCACGAGCCTGCAAGAGTGCACATATACATACATACACATTATAACTATATACCGTATATTTATCCAAATTACCCGAGGGCCACTAATACTAGTGGTCTTGAGGACAGGAAACCAGTTGCTTGTCAAAGGTACTCCCCCTCCTTATTTGCCCTAATGATCTTTTCCAGCTGTATTTTAAAACTCAGCAGAGTATTGATATATACAAATGGGGGGAAAACCTAGAATCCAAATTATCATACTAATTCCACTATTTATCTTTTGAATGAACACAACAAACACGTGACTAAATCGACACCAAATACAAATTTTTCAGTCACCGAGAAATTAATTTTCTGCTGTTGCTATCAATTTAAATAAAGATTCCAATACATTTTCACATTTTTATAGTGACTGTGACCCATGGAATAACATTATACATGATGTAGTCTGCCATGCTTTCTAAACTAAATCTTAGTCTAATTTAAATGACGTATAATATTAAACATCTTGAGCTTTACCATATCTAAAAAAAAAAAATCCTAACCGTTGCTGTAGCTACTAGCGTGTGCCGTACTTTAGGCTACTATTATTAGTATGAAATACGCCTGGCTGTTGCCCCTCACCTGGTCACTGATGGTCGCCAGCACCCCGGAGAGCGCCTCGTTCTTCAGGGTCTCCTTCACCTTCTGCTCGGACAGCCCCAGCAGCTTCAACTTGTCAGCCATCTCCATTCTCTCGGGCACAATCTGGGACGTTATGAGCGGCGAGGGGCGGCGGGACGACACATGTCACACACACAAGGCCGACCAGAGGTAAACACGAGAGTAAGAGGTGAAACACACCCACTCTTGCCTATAACATCACATTCATTGCCATCTGTTGTCTGGCTTTTCAACTACACTTGCGTCAACATTGCCTCTCTCTATACTGGCTAACAGATGGCGTTGTACATGCAAAGACTTTGTATATAATTTATAAGTATTGGATGCGTGCTGGCCTCTGTACCCAGTACCTGACTGAGTGATGCCACTTCCCCCACCGGTGTGAGTGATGCCACTTCCCCCACCGGTGTGAGTGATGCCACTTCCCCCACCGGTGTGAGTGATGCAACTTCCCCCACCGGTGTGAGTGATGCAACTTTCCCCCACCGGTGTGAGTGATGCAACTTCCCCCACCGGTGTGAGTGATGCAACTTCCCCCCACCGGTGTGAGTGATGCAACTTCCCCCACCGGTGTGAGTGATGCAACTTTCCCCCACCGGTGTGAGTGATGCAACCTTCCCCCACCGGTGTGAATGATGCAACTTCCCCCACCGGTGTGAGTGATGCAACTTCCCCCACCGGTGTGAGTGATGCAACTTCCCCCACCGGTGTGAGTGATGCAACTTCCCCCACCGGTGTGAGTGATGCAACTTCCCCCACCGGTCTGAGTGATGCAACTTCCCCCACCGGTCTGAGTGATGCAACTTCCCCCACCGGTCTGAGTGATGCAACTTCCCCCACCGGTGTGAATGATGCAACTTCCCCCACCGGCGTGAGTGATGCCACTTCCCCCACCGGTGTGGGGTGATGCAACTTCCCCCACCGGGTCTGAGTGATGCAACTTCCCCCACCGGTGTGAATGATGCCACTTCCCCCACCGGTGTGAATGATGCCACTTCCCCCACCGGTGTGAATGATGCAACTTCCCCCACCGGTGTGAATGATGCAACTTCCCCCACCGGTCTGAGTGATGCAACTTCCCCCACCGGGTCTGAGTGATGCAACTTCCCCCACCGGTCTGAGTGATGCAACTTGCTCCCATTATTGTCTCTAATGACCTCGCGAACGCCGTCTTAAATTTAAAGAAGTAATTATCAAAAGACGGCACCAAAGCGGGGAGACTATGGATGTGAAGAAGCCATCCGTGCGTGTCTCATCTCTCGGAAGAGAATTCCTTTAGGATGCATGATGCAATCCGCACTCGTTGGAGAGGTTGGCATGGTTACAGCTATTATGAATACCATATTACGTGGTATCAAATGTAACCTTATCTCCAAGGCCTTCCTCCTCCACCTTCCCCAGCAACAGGAAGTTGGAAAAATCTCTGCATTATTGCATAGGTCGATCCATTTGGACTGGTCGGTATAGCGAAGTCGATGTTCGATCCCCCAATAGTCCAAATGGTTCCTTCCTTCCGTCCCAGCTCCTTGCCCTCGTATCCCTTCCGCGTGTCATACAACCATACTGTTTAGCTCTTTCTCTTCATAATAACCTTACTATTTTGGTTAAACCCAAATAGGGGCTTGCTGATTGTTGTTGGGTTGCTAATAATCAAAATAGAAATTCTAAATGTAGTTATTGTCCTTGTATATAAGTCACCGGAGGCAAACCCTCAGCAGTTTAAAGTCTTGAGCGAAGGCGGGAGAGATACATAATAATTTACACGTGAAAAATATTAGAGGGTCTGGTCCCAAACCTGCACACAGAAATAACATCACATGAGACCAGAAGACATGGCAGGATGTGCAGAATACCCTCGTTGAAAAGCAGAGGTGCAACAGGTACTCTGAGAGAGAACTCTATCAACATCAGAGGCCCGAGACTGTTCAACACGCTTCCACTACACATAAGAGGCATAACTGGCAATCCCCTCACAGTGTTCAAGAGAGAACTGGATAAGCACCTCCAAAGGATACCTGATCAACCAGGCTGTGACTCATACGTTAGGCTGCGAGCAGCCGCGTCCAACAGCCTGGTTGATCAGTCCAGCAACCATGAGGCCTGGTCGACGACCGGGCCGCGGGGACGCTAAGCCCCGGAAGCACCTCAAGGTAACCTCAAGGTAAGGTAAGCCTTAGAAACAAATGCTTTTTACTGGCAGACACTTATATGGAAGAAAAAGACCAGCGCATTACTGTCAAAAGTGCAGTGTCAAGGTCATGCACCTCGCAAATTGTCCCTATTGAGTGGAAATGTTGACTTTCCATTGTTCCTTGCAGTCTTATATGTCCCGTGATAAGACCCCTTCGGTGAATCTGCTTCACTGGATATTACTCGTGTGTAGCCTCGTGCTGCCATTCGGAACGCTATCTACCAACTCCTGAATATTCTGTGACAGAGACGATACACACGTTACAATACTATACAGCCTTCCGAGCCAGGAATATAGCGGGGGAAGAGAATCAACTTCCACTCACAGTATGGGGGGCACAATCAACTTCCACTCACAGTATGCGGGGGACACAATCAACTTCCACTCACAGTATGGGGGAATAATAAACTTCCCGCCGCAAACTGTATTATTTTTAAGAAGGTAAGATACACTGTATTTATATATATATTATGGGTTACAGAGGACACGTTAAACCCTAATCAAGTCGACGACATAATACTCTAGTCTGGCGGGAAGGTTCAGTATACACGGGATGTGCGTCTGGTCCACTAGCCTGCACTAGCAAACGTCGGCTGGGTTACGAGGTTAAATTACTATTATTCATATGCGAATAAAATAATTGCGAAGTCATGTATATCTTATGCTGTCTGGTCTAATATCATCGTATGTTCAGTGTTGGGAGACTCGTTACCATCCATAGTTAACGATCATTTCCAAGCCTAAGTCTGGAAATGACTGTCTCACTCTCTGGTTAACATTTGTGTTGGTCATGCCATACATGTAGTTCGCAGTTCTATACTACTAGGGCTTTGCGTCAATGATTCCTTCTCTGTCCTAATGCGGCCTGACGACGCAGAATAATTTCCATGGTGGGCCACATATCTGCTTTTATCATCTATGGTAATTAGTGATTATTAAATAAAGGTTATTTTGTAAATATTGAATGGACAGCATCAAATTGTTTACAGTAATTTTCTTGGGTTTATTTTTTTAGTTTTTTCGTATGGTGGTACAAGTTTAGTTGGGGTGGGGTGAGGTCGCCCTGCAGTTCAGGGTGTATGATCCCCCAACTCCAGGGACCTGTAGGCTCTCCTCCCCGGACCCCATCATGGTGGGCTACCTGACGGAGTTCACCATGACCTGTGAGGGCTGGCAGGACGCCCAGGGCAGCCGGCTGTTGTACCAGCTGTACTATACCGACGATGACAATGACGTCGCCAGCAGCGTCAAGCATCTCGCCTACAGCGGATACAACTCTAAGGCCGACGGCATCCTGCTCCCGCCTGGAGACCTCTGGGCCATTGCGCACGTGACGGATGACCTTCAGCTGACCACCATTGTACCCCTGGCCAAGCTACACCTCGTCCCTCCCCCTAGCTACCCTTTCATGAACATCGAGAGGGACATCAGGGGCATCCAGATTTCCGTAGATATCAAGGATTTGTATGCGAGCATTATCAAGGCCAGCCTTGTGGCGTTCGCCTTGGAGAGGCTGGATCAGTCTGCCAAGACTTACCAAGCACGTCAGGAGCTGAAGCAGGCACTTCTGAATGAAATGTTGTAGCTGACGTCCACTACTCCAGATTACGCCATAGAAGAGATGGTGGCAGTTACAATTCAGTTGCTAAAAGCGCCTGTCAGTCATTCTGTGCAGAAAACAGCAGCTGACCTGCTTTAGACTCTAACGGGAAATTACCTGAACCTCAGCAGCAGCCCGGACATCGTGGTGACAGAGCCGCAGGTGGAAGACGTGGCTGCACACCTATTGCAGGTGTGGGGAAACCTCCTGGCACACCTGCACGTCACAAACACCACTGATCTCAGTGTTCAGCTCGGCCAGCACATTGCAGATAAATTGCAGGCCTCGTTGAGCCTCGTCAGCACACTTGTGACGGCGACCCGACATTCTGGAAGGATGCTGAACCTGACAATACCTCATGTGATATTTTCTGCCTGGAAAATGCCGTCAGTTGCCACTAAAGGTGTCAACGTGGGCGGGGTTGAGGTGCTGGCCGCCCATATGTCCCACTAAACCTCCCAAACTGCCGCCTACACCACCCTCAACCCGCATGGATATCACCCGGGACAATACGTGTCTGGTTTCATCCAACATTTTATCTACCTCGGAGACAAAGCATCAAATCTCCCCGTATAGTATCGCTTCCGGGGGACAACCGCAGTAAACGATTCCTCCGTCTTCACGGTGACGGGAAACCTGTCGTGTGTGCAGGTCGCTCAAGCCTTCCCCAGGTGTGGATGGATGATCTTGGCCATAAATTCGGCCAGCTTCTCCCTGCGAGTACCCGGCCGTGGGACGGCTTACCTCACACTATTCAGCTCCTCTGAGAATGTAACTGTAAATGGGACTGGAATACCAGGAGACGTGCATCCACCCGTTCTATTAGTCACATTGGCAGATGACAACGCTGTCGGAGAGATCTGTCTTCCGTTCGGCGGGAAGCAACGATACGGAGACATCGAGGTCATGCCTGTACCCTCCGTAAACCTGACTGTGACAGGCCAACGGGCTTTTTTAGTGAGAAATTTGCGGGAAAAGGACAGAGAGGTGCGTCTGGAGGTGAGGTTGGCCTACACTAATCTGACCTTAGGTCGCCGAATGCTCTCTGTGCCATTAGATAAGTGTAATTAGTGCAACGCTACTAACTCCTCCGGTCTGCTAGTCGCCGTTGATGTGCGGCTGGATCATGCATCTGGTCGATGCGTCGTGTATGACCCGGTTGCTAGGAAATATACTCCAGCCTGTGCGACACTTCCCGACGTCAACGACATAATGTGCGCATGTGCAGGGCCGGGTTCGTACTCTGTCATAGCCGCACCTTCTATGAAGAGAGTTTTCGACGTTTTAAGCAAATTCCACTTTAACTCAATAGCAGCTTTAGCCGTGCTAGGGTTACTGCTCCTGTTGATATGCATTGCTGCACTCTTAGACTACTATGACCGGGGCAAGTCGGCTCCATTGGAAGACCCCAAAAATAAACATAAATGTTTAGAAAGCCATGTATTCATATACACCTCATTGTTGAAATGCCGCCCAGGAACAAGTCTCAACTTCGTTGTAAAATTATTCTATGGCAAAACTTGGGTAAAGCCAACCATTGTGAAAAACCCAGGCACTTCTTTCGGCCAGATG